TTTGAATAATTGCGAACCCACTGATACCCTTAGAGCACAAGAGAATTTGCACTGATTGTGAGATATATTTATGTCCACAAGCAAAACAAGAGCATCTCAGCACTTCCTCAAAGGGTCAGGGAAACTGGAAGAAAATCTTGATCGAAAGGGGAGTAACTAGCTTAAGTAAATTACATGTTACTTACATTATGTGTATATTAATTAAATGGTATATTAAAAATCATAGGTATATGAAAAATATTAGTTAAATTACAGGTATATTATTTTAATTACACCATACAAATGTAAACTAATACATTGTATATTACTGTTAAAGTCAATAGCTATTATTTTCCTTTTTAATACTCGGAATAGTTTCTATTTGTATGGAAACAGTTACGAGTATTATCATGAAGCAGAAAATATTTTCCTTAGACCTTCAACTAGTGTATTGATATTAGTCGTTTAATGTCTTCTAACAATGTATTGTAAAATTATGTACATGTTGTACGTGCATATTTTAGTGAGCTGTTGATACTGACACCTGCTGAATATAATTACTTAGTCTTAAGTTATTGTTACAGGTTTTTGATGTTTTCTTATTGACGTATTATTTACCTCTTGAACTTAGTATTAGAGTGTAATCAATAGTGCGATATTCGACCCGCTTCCAATTAGAGACGAAAAGAAGAGAGAGCGTAGAGAATTAAGTCGAAAACAAATGAGTTTCTAAAGAAATCTGCTATCATGATATAATACAACGTCCTTTCTCAAAAAAAGGCCTTCAATATTTCTAAGAATAAGTTGAGAGGCTTTTTAAAAAAAAACATTGAAATTATACGAGATCAAAGATTCATATAAGCTCTCCAATCAAACCGTTAAATCTCTGACCATCTAAGAAACAAACGTTTCCATAGGAATTCTGTTTCTCGCAGAAAAGTTATTTAGTAATAAAAATGTTTCTGAAATTTCTTTGAAAGGCGGTTTTCACAATTTACCTTTGGTCTTGGCATTGCGTATCAGTGGTTAGTTGCTACACAAATCCACGCCACTACGTCTCGAACTCAAAAACTATTAATAATGGGTGATTGTTCAATCCAATATATCATAAAGTATCGGAAACCGCTTAAAATTAGTATCCCAGCACGGATACGCCAAAGATGTCGTTAATGTTGCAGCGGGGAGCAATATGAAATATCTGATGCTGAACAATAAAAGCTAGTGATCTTACATAATGGCGCAGACTTTCTCGCACTTGTTTCTAACCTCCTTAGACTAGGATAGGTTTTCCATTTTGCACCTTCTTACCAGTTGCTACCTATCGGCTCCTAACAGTCATTTCTTCACATTTTTTTTCAAATTTTTCAGTACCCTCAAAATAGAACTGAAATAGAACAGTAAAACCTCGGTCTTGACATATATTCATTGAAAAATTTGAAGCAGTTTTTGAGAAAATGTTTGAGCGTTTCTGAAATTCCGCAATGTTGAGCGCATTTTCACCAAAAATTTTGAATTTTCAAGAAACTTGATACGGAATGATTTGAAATATTGATTTACAAATGCAATAATGCATAAAATGCCTATGTCTGCGAGATAATAGAAAAAATTGTGTGCAATCTAAAAAATCAAAACAAACGGCAGCCACGGAGACGCTGGCGGCAGCAGCGGTTAGCTCAGTTTTGATCGGAAGCAATGTGATAAAATGCACACTCGCGAGGATAGCCCGCCCTCTACTCGCCTGTTCGGGGACTGAATGAATCCAATATAACATCCTTAATATTTGTCCAATCGTTATTCTTTACTGAATCTTTGGGGGGGGGAATAAATTAGAATAAAACTACTGTTTACGCTGAAAAATATGGCGGGACGTTACCCCACTCAAAAAGAGAAAGTATCTCCCAATAAAACCCCACTATTGTCGTATCTGAGAAACTGAGAAGCGAAAAAGTTAACCTTCTGCGTCTGCCTGTCGCGGCGGCAGGTGCTCGGGGCGCAGCGCACAGAGGCACTAATTAAAAAGTTGCAAGAACCTCAAAAGAAATACGGCCGTCAAGTTTTCCCGAAAGTCGCCTTCGTCGCTGTAATTACGCAGTACGTGCATTTACAGGGCGAGCGCGACTCGACCACTCCTTCGCTTCGCGATTTCAAAAAGAAACTTTTACCTTCTTCTTGCGATTTTGCTGCGTAGTTTTATGTTGATAAACCGCCCGGCCAAATCACTGAAACGTGCATTCATTTATTTGAAGTAATAACAAGTAATACAAAATACGGAATTTTGTTTTTATTCGTTGTCCTTCAAAATATCGAAAGAAGATCTAACAACTAAAATTTGTTCCCGCAGAGAGATCCAATATTAACCTGGGATGAAAGAAGTGAATATCATGATTCATAGGGACTTGCATTTTTGTAAGTATTACGCAGGTCAACATGGATTTTCTTTTCTTGATTTTTACATTTATTTTATACGTAAGTTGGTCCCCTGAATCCAATATCATTTTTGTTCTATCACATCACAATGTTTAATAACTTCAGTAATTGTGATGAAAAATGATATTGAAAATATACACATTATCTTCAGTGTTAAAAACGCAAGTATGTATTTTTCGTGAGACAGAAGATTATATCAGTTCATTTTGTCACAGAACACGGCCGGATGGCGGAATACATGTATTCATTGCTTGTAATAGCATACACTGGGCAAAAGTTAAATCAACCAGTGTTGACTGAGAAATTCGAATCCATCTGAAGCATAGTGTTTCGAAGAACTAGTTCGTTTGTTGTGCTATAATTAGGCAAAGCGAAAGTGTGTGAATGATCCAAAACATTTCGTTATATTTGTGGAAGTTTTAAGATTGCAAAACACGAGACAGGATATAACCTCATTTGTTAGAAGTGTTTATAACTCTCATTTTGGAATAAAACTGGGGGACCAGGAAAATCCATGGGCCCCTCGTGTGCAGTGTTTGTGTTGCAGAGTTAAGAAACAGGTTGAAGAGGAAGGCACTGAGTTTGGGAGTTCATATAGTGTGGCGCGAGCCAAAGGACCACTTAGACGGTTGCTATTTTTGTATTTACAAAGTAAAAGGATACATTACAAAGAACAGTCACGAAATGATTTAACCAGATTTGGAGTCTGCTAAAAGGCCAGACGGCACTGACGTTCCTATACCAGAACCTCCAAGTACCTACTGCATTCTGACTCACGTTCAACGCCAGGCGAGTCAGCAGGAGAATCTGATTGGGCAAGCACCGAACACAAACCAAAAACTTTAACACAAGCAGAACTGAGCGATTGGATCAGAGATTTAAAACTCTCAAAGCATGCTTCTTAGCATCTCGTGGAACATGTGTTACAGTTTACTGTTTTTTTTCTCGATGTCTGTAATCACACTCCCAACCTCATAAATAAGTTCGGTGTTAGATTTTGAACTATCTTTAAGGAACATATTTTATTAAGGGAAACAATTCTATCTTCAATATTTTAGTTGTAGGAAGAATCCGAAAAAAAATTTCAATTTTCGAAAAAATCAGTTTAACAAGGTGCTTCATGTAAAATATCGCCAAAATTAAAATATCAATTTCAAATTCAAGGGGCTGCGCCATCAGCCACATCGATCGGGGAATATCAATTTTCGAGAAAATCCGCTGGATAGTTTAGTCGCTAGCGTTGTTCACAGACGGACAGACAGACGTTTTGACGTCAATTGACTTTTCAGTATTAAGCACCCACAAAACGGATTCTGGTTACACCACGTATTACAGAATTTTTTTTCTAAATTTAACAACTGGATTTATCCACTTTTTTGTTACCAGGGCCCTGTAATAAGAGTTTTTTTTTCGGAACATTCGCCGTTTTTTGCGTAGCTTTACAAAACTTTCTCTTCTTAAGAAGTTCCTTAAGCGCGAGAAAGTAAAAACAGTAAAACCTGTGCGTGATGTACGGGGAAAGTCGTCTGCGCACGATCAAATAAGTCAATAGTTTTTGAAAGATCTAAAAATATTGCAATGTGTGCTTCGTTTTGATCCATGGATGAAGCGACATCTTAAAGAAAAAATATGGTTCTTTTCGTAGACCTTGATTTTCTAAATCCATGTGGGCAATCTGAAAACGATTCGTGTTTCTATTCGTACGAAAAAAAAAAGCCTTATATTTTTATCGAAAACACTCCCAAAGAGCCAAACACCGAGCCAAAAAATTTGCATTCTATATTTGCGTTTTCTGAGGAGTGACTTTATCTTAGCTGTTTTGAAAATATCTGGAAAACTTCCGATGCTTAAGAATGTATTAAATATGCGAGTTAACGGGTGTATAATGGCAGATGCACAAGTCTTTAACAAACATATCTGAAATTCATCTAAACCGACGGAAATTTATTTAGTTTACCGATTTTATTGAGAACTTCATAGGAAGATGTTTCGGAAACGTACATCGTGTCTAACGTTTTTGTGGAAACGTCTGAATTTTGTGTTTGAAGGCCTATAGTGAGATCAGCAGCAATTCACAAAAGGTATTGGTGGAAGGGGCAAGTCACTGTTGCCGGATCGTTCACTTCTCTACCGTTATCTTTTAAAACATTCTCGACTACGTTTCTAGTTCATGTGGTTGTATTTTCTACTACATTCCACATTGCTTTTGTTTTGTTCAAAGTGCAGCTTTCTCCAGCTTTTGAAGAAAATAAAAGTATTTCCTTAGCATTAAGATTTTGGAACATCTAAAAAGGGCAATAAGGAAATGATATTGTACATGCTTAGTGTTGCGAAAACATAACAAGCAAATGTAGAAAGCTAAAAACACAATACAATGAAAGACAGATATGAATAATGAAAACATGTAAAAGTAGTGTAAAACTCAAAAGTAGTATAATATATAAAAACAAAATTTATAAATATGAGATTAAAAAACAAATAGTTTTTACCTGGCACGACCATACATCCTTCGCAAAACATGACATTTCACTTTTTGACACATTCAATACTTATTGCAATCTTCTAAAGGATTAATTATTCTTTCATCTTTACAGGATGTGCAACAGTGAAGAAAAAGATAATTACCCTGCTCATTACCATGCGCAATGTAGTGAAAATGCAACACTAGGTATGTATGGGTTAATTACTTTACTTTTGAGCATTTTTTGTTGATTTAATTTTTGCTAAAGTTCTATTTTTGGGTGTTACTACCTCTGGGTTCCAATATGCACATTTTCAAATAACTGAAAAAAATTCAGATTCAATTAGAATTTAATTTTTCATAAGGTTTACTAGTTGTTTGTGTATAAGTGCTGCCAAAAAGCTTTAGATAGCTTCGGATTTTGGTTCTTTACCTACACAACATTAGTGTCTTACAAGCCATTTAGCATTAATGCTAAAGAAATACAGAATTCGTGTTTGCAAATAAAACTTATCATTCTCAAATATAATTGAAGAATAGGAATAGAATCCACTACACAAAATAAAATTAAATTTACAACAATTTTAAAAACATTTTGAAATTATATACTAGGTTTCTTGATGGAGAACCTAAAAATGCATTGATAAAAATATACTGGATACACCAAATAAGAATAGTCAATAATAGGTATTCTTAAAGGTTTTATGTCATAATAAAATGGAAACAATTATTTATGATCTAATTAATGCTTTGATTATTTAAAACTTGCCTTTCCTTCTCAAATGTCCCATGACCATTTGGAAGTAGAGGCAAATATTAACAAATTTCAACAAATTTTATTACAAGTAAAAATGAAACAAATATTCAACAAATTTTATTGACTTCATTCAAATCCTAGGTTTTTTCTCTATTTTCTCCGGTTTCTTCTAAAGTTATTTCCCACAAATACATTATAACTTTCTGAGATTTCCTTTTGCTTTTGGGAGATGTAAAATAATATTCTACCAAGAATATCATTAAATTCCTTGCTTGTTAAATTTTTCAGTACTATAATAAGCCAGTCTTTAAGACTTAAGAGCTAAAAATATTTTCGTACATCCAGCTAATCAACTCAAAAACATTTTCTCTTACACTTTTAAATAGTTAGAAATACAATAAAGAAGTGCCTGTTTTTCTCTGCCAATTTTCAAAGCCTCTTACGCAAAGGTCAAATTTCCAGAGGCCCCTAAAAATACACCACAAATCACATGTCTATCACAGAAAAGGTGGAATATGAATGAACTATAATAGACACTTGATACACAATGTTTACTCTTAGTGGACCATGAATTATTGATAAATAGTATTTTAGAAGCACCTTTCTGATTATAAAAACATCAAACTTAACATATTTCCAATAGTACAAATAGTATTAAAACATCTCATTTCACCTTAACTTATGCTTGTCCTTCATATAAAAAGAATCAAACAAAAATACTAAAAATATATTTTCCTACCAGACTTTAAAAATTAATTTTGGTAATACTCTTCCTCCACAATAGTTCTACATTTTAGGACAATTCATAAATAATTTAATAATGAACCTGCACAAAAACAAATTATAATTTGCATGAAATGTTTATTATCTTCGTGAAATAATAATTTCAATATAAGAATCACAACAGAAGTTCAAGAATGATCCATAAAAAAATGCCCTACAATGAGATTTGTTTTTCACCCTCACCGGGAAGGAAGAAAAGTTTTCCCATTCAAAAATGTTGAATGTCAGAGTCTCTAACATGGCATGAGAGAAACTCAGTAATGAAAAGGAGAATGTAAGAAAGTAATATTCAAGACTATCTTCTATAACATGTGAGAAATTCTATAAAAGACAACAAATTGTTTCAAAGTTTCAGTATCATGTAAAAGTGGAGAATAATATTGTAATAAAATCACAAATGGTGAAATAAACAAAAGCAAAACATACATTTAAGACGGATCACTGACACAAAAAACGATTTATTAATGTGCACACTCTGCATCTGATTTACAAGTTCTCAATCTCTAGCCTCTTTCCACACATCAAGAATAAGATATAAACAACTTGCACAGCAAGATAACAGTCTTCCTCAACAAGGCATGCAATGCCTCTGTGTATAGAAATTAACAAATTTATCACATAAATTGTACTACATAAAATTATCTCTGTAACTCACAATTGGTACTACACAAAAAAACATTCATCAAGCCAAATGCTGCAGTAAAGTTCTATCAAACATTAGAATCATGGGCTTGCACAACTTGGAGACACAGGAGAAGTGGTCCATTAGATGACAACCAACAAACTAACAACATGGACATGCCTGAAAAAGAATTGTAACAGTATTCTTATAGGGCAGCAAATCAGTAACATGATCAACATAAAACAACACAACATGGTTTTGAAAGACCAATGGAAGACATACTCTTATTAGCAAAATATAGATAACAAAAACTGAAAATTAATTTTAAAACAACTGGAAATGGACAAAGCAAATGGCTGGTCACCATCAACGCAACAAAACACTTGACATATGACATCTTTTAAACTGTTACTTGTGCGGAAAAGCAAAAGGTGAAATTAAATGTAACATCTAATATCACTGCAATTCATTGCTTCTAACACATCACAAGTTTTAATTGATCAAAGACTGTAACATAGATATGTGTCTACAAAAATTCAAGAAAAGTTTATTACAAAAATTTAAAAAAAAATATGATTGCTTACAACAGCTGTTTCCAAACTTTCTGCCGTGACTCCCATCTGGTAATAAATTCTCCAGACTCCTCCCCTCATTAAATTGTTAATTATATACTTACAACATACAAAATAATCAATGCAAGTGACTGGCACTAATCAATCTTGTAATTAATGAATTTAATTTAAGTTTGACAATGTAAGGAAAGCTATAAAAAATGAACATATTGATAGTTCAGAAAATCAGTGAGATGGTTGGGCTTGCTTGGTGTCACACAGTTCATCAAATCTCACCAGTTATTTAGAAATGTCGGTACACATCTCAATCCTGGAGATTTATTCGTGATTTCTATTTTTCTTGATTACCACCATGACTGAAAATCCATTTTGTCATACTTAAGAAGTGAAAAAAAAAGAAGCAGAACACGCAAGGCCTTCTTACTTAACCCTGAATACTGATTCTTTACAGATCACCAATATTCAGACAGTGTTGCAAGAATGGATCATGCTACAAGAAAGTGAGCCATATTCTATTGCCCGAATGGCAGAGTTCATTTAAAATAACTGATAGTTGACAATGTTGGTTTCATGGAAGCAATACGATCACTTATTATGCAAATGATTAAAATTAACAAAGGCTCATCCATAGTCTGATAGTAATTTTTCACGCACAAATAATTAGAGCATTATTAAGCATTAGAAGATTATTTAATTGAATTATTAAGAAGTCCCCTCTGAAACTTTCGCACCTCCCCAGGGGGGCACGTCTCACACTTTGAACAACACTGGTATACAATGTCAGATTGCACACAGCTTAATCAATAGGCTAAAAGAATGCATTTAAAGCACATACAATATTTTTAACTATTCAATGAAATGTGACTTTACAATAATTAACATTATGTTAAAATAAATGTATCTTCATGGCTATCAAAACATTTAAAAAAAAATATATTTGAAATATCCACAGTTAAACATGAAGAAAAGTTTATCACTTCCAACAAATCAAACATCAGTAGTCCTACTATCAATATTTTATCTTACTTTACCATCTTCAATACTTATCTTTAAACAAAACAGCAATTTTAAAATACTTTTTCCAAACAATCTGCATGAACCTATTTATTCTTATCAACTAGTAATTAGCTCTACTGAAAACAGTAGTATTATGCCACAGTGTAAGTATCAAAGTAAATTTGATTTACATAATTTTTAAGGGCATTTTTTCAAGATCATTATGGCAATAATGCATTATTTTTAGGTAATGCTTTTTGTAGTTTTTAGGTCATTAAAATCCCAATTCTAGAAACAAGCCTTAAGGTTTTCCAGAAGTCAATCTTCTAATTATCCTAAAGTTTCTCTACACTCTTAATATTTATGTCAAAAAAGATGAACACTACCACTACCATGTAGCAGTAGTAAGTGGCTGTGGCAAGTAACACACAGCAGTAGCAAGTAGCAGAAGCAAGTAGTAGTAACTAGTAGCAATTTCAAGTGACAGTAGCAGTTGCAAGCAGCAGTAGCAAGTAGTAGAAGCCAGTAGCAGTGCAAGAAAGCAAGTTGTAGTTATGACTTTATTGATATGGCTGTGACTCATTCCCATTAATCTGCCTAATCACAAGTCAAAGTATACAAATGAGTAGAAAACAGTATTGTGCAGTATACAAAGAAGTGGTCATGAATAAAAAGATTTTAAAACAACTTATAGAACATAATATCTGATGTTTAAAAGAAGCAAAAAAATTACAAAAATTATTTGAAAGCATTATACAATACAAATATGGAAATTTTTGATATAATTTTATATGAGTGACAGCTCTATATACTCCCTGCAGCTGCACTCTATGGGACAGGCTGGAAGGCAATCTGAGTGACTGTAATCTATTAAGTACAAAATACACCCTCCCATCCACCACTCAACCCTTTATTAAAATGTACAAGTCGGGGAAAATTCACCAGGTTCAATATGAATAGGATTTAGGTTAGGTCATTCAATAGGGTGATCAGAATTTTAAACTAAATTTCTAAACAAACTTTTTAAGAAGTAATTTAACTCTCCTGCCTCCCCAAATTACACTAAGTTTTTGCAAGTGTTTTTGAAATAAAAATACTTACTAATGTAATATTAAGCATACTGGGTTAAGTTTTGCAGTATGCCTCATATTAACACAAATACCTTGAAACATGCTTTACATATTTTAAAAAGAAAATAATGTAAAATTGGAAAGAAACTCAAAACCTTTCTGAAAAGCCCCACATTTTCACTTTTCACAACATTCAAGGATATAGAAGACATGTGGATTTAATTTTATTCCCCATTATACCTTTAAATAATTAATGAATGATTAACAAAATTTCACAACGAAACAAAACCAGTCAAATTTTTATTTCTTTCTATCATTCATTCAAAACCTCTCTCAGTTCAAATACATATTACAACTGTTCAACTGGGTTAAAATCATACCAAAGTTTCAGAATACATTACACAAAATGGACTACTAAAAAACACTACCTGTTTTTTTCTGCTTTTTCCTTTATTATGCTATGACTTTCTCTGAAGGCAGTTTATTTTCTCTTGGCTCAGAATTTTCTATTATAAGTTTCTCAGTACTATACATCTTTCCTACAGTAGTCTGAAATTAAAATGTTTGTAAAAGTTAAAAACAAAAAACATGGAAATAAAAATATCGAACAAGAAATACTGATATTTTAAACATTAGAAGAAAAGAGGGAAAAAACATGTTTATAAGATATGTTTGAATAAGTAACATTTGTTATTCGTCACTGTCTTATTATCCCTAGTCCTATCATTATTAGACCTACGATTTTATGACAAATGCCTATTTAGTTCCTTTAGGATATTGTAGAAAATAACTGCAGATGTACACAAATCATGAAAAAATAATTTACTGACAGCATCTAATAGAGCCTAAAATGTCCTAAAGAGCGGTTTTAAGCCTATTTTAACATTTCTTTGCCTGAGACTGCCTAATACAAGTTATTTTAAAGAATTGTCCCATTTTAATTAGGCTACTAATTTTTGACATTGTTTTACAGAACGCAAATTGTACCTGATCGAATATGCAATCGCCTAAGCACCAAAATCTTTCGCCCAACACACCAAACACAAGGAGCTCCGCAAGTCACCATAAAAAGTATTCTTTACCAATTATATTTATTACTCAGTAATATAATTGATAATAGTATTGTATAATTCTAAAGAACCTGTTACAAGTAGTAACTTACGGGTCAATGACCACCCACTTTGATCAGGTTTTCGTCCAGTTTCATTGATCCTTGAGCAAATGCTAAGATAGCTCATTGCATTGCTTTTGGACATAAATGTAACTTCAAATTAACGTCTTCTCTTAGCACGCCACACAGGTTTTTAGCGGTTTTTGGCATAAATTAATAAAATGAATGTTTTATGCACGTCTCCGATCAGTACACGCTTAGCAGGGGCTGATCATTTGGGGGAGCCACTTCAGTCACTAAATTTTACGAAGCAATGCCAATCTCTGAAGAATCAATTATGCCTTCACGACTTTCTCAGTAGTGCGAGGTATCTCCTGTGAAGAATTTTCACCCGTTTCGATCATTTCTTTAAATTTTTTGGAGAAAATCACGGACAGAAGTTCTCGTCTTCAATCGAAAATAGTTTCCATTTCGCGCCAATTACGAGTTTGATTGTCATGAATGCACCCTGCGAGGTTTCGCCTTCAAATGTTCACTGTGCCAAATAGTGGGAAGCAACGTCATCAGTGAAGAAAAGTTGCACGACTTAGTAAGATGTTTTTAATCGTGCACTGGCGTAAATCAGGTGTTGCGGTTTCATCAAATCGGGAGAGAAACTCACACGAATAGCTTTATAGAAAGAGAAAAGCAACGAGAACAAGAATAACAATCGTTAATACGATACAAGTTGTTATTTGGTTGCCACTATAATAATTTATGTTATTTTAATGTTTTTCGCCTCCTCCCCCATACGACAATTCTAAACGAATTTTGTAAATACATTTTCAGTTGCACCTGATGAGGAAGACGGAAGTTTCAGATACGTCAATTTTCACTTAATAAAATAAATTCATTTTGGGTGTATTTAATTGTGATTGTTCTAAATTTTAAAAAATAGTGCCTAAAAATATTAGAAAATATAAACAACAATCGTTGCCGAGATTTTGTTACTCGACGCTCCGATTGATTCAGCCGCGTAGGCTCCCGGTTCGACTCCTAGAGAATGCGAATTACGTTTAGCAAGAGATGAAAATGAAAAACATTCACATCGATAGCAGCATTGTACATCCAACGACAGAGACGGAATAATAAAAAAAACACATTTAGGGCTCCTTCACACGTTGCCACCGCGGCGCGCTTCCGAACACAGCGGTTCTTAGCATAGCATTGGTTTAGATTTAGATTTATTCAGTAAAAAAAAAAAAAACTAACAAAAAACAGTAAAAACTTTATGTGACGTAGGGGGAGAATATTGTCTGCGCGCGATTTCTTGAGTTCCAGAATCTCCTTTTCGTTTCTGAGTTATAGAAAACGTATTTGCATCGGTAGACGATGCAAGGGTTTGACTGGAGACCTTCCCCCGTGCGGGGAGGGGGCCCTCGCCATTAGAAGCGCAGGAGGGCATACGCGTTGCACCTGCTGCGGTTCCTTTGTCCCTCGCCCCGCAGAATCCATCCCCCTCCAAGGCGGCTTATCGGGAGCGCGGCTCTCTGGCGACGTATGAAGGCGCCCTTGTAAAAGGGTCCCGGATAAAAGTTTTACGGGCGGGCCCGCACTCCTTTCGTCACGCAACTCGTCCTATCCTTCCACCGTGGGCGAGTTCTCTGGTTCGCAGTTCACAACAAATCACTCGAACATTACATGATACGAATTTCATGGGTATTCTGTGATGTGAAAGAGCTTAAAAAATGAGAGGCCGCGAACAAGAGAGCGATAGAGAAAAAACAACTAAAGTGTCAGAAGAAAATGTTCTTAACCTTCTTCTCCAGCAGAAAGACGAATACAAATTCAAGTCGCACAACTTTCGGAGGAGCCTAAAAGCCAGGAGAACGACACTGTTGGACACAGACTTTCCCGTATTAGTTTTCCATTTCCTTCGGTCTCTAGCTATATGAATTGTCATACATTCTTGCAGTTGCCATATACCGCCGCGCAAAGTTTCATTTTTTTTTTTTTTTTTCCCTTAATATTTCAGTTTCCTAAAATATAACGGAAATATTATTCGCGAATATTAAGAACAGTTAACCCTCGTCCTAATTGCCAATTTCTTGGAAAAATTTGGAGCCGTTTTTAAGAAAATGGCGTTTAAGCGCTTAATGTAATTAGAAAATTTGAAGCTCTTTTTCACAAAATTTTGAGTTTTCGAAAAACATGATTAGAAATAATTTAAAGCTTTTAAGTCACAAATACAAAAGTGTTCACAATTTGTAGAAATTTTGCACATTAACACCATGAGGGGTTTTTCAAAATATTACATTTGTGTAATTTTTGAAAAACAAAAAACTACCCCCAAACAAACTTTACATCATATTAAAGAGCGCAAATGGCATTATCCATTAGAAAAGTTTGAAGAAAAAATTGGAGCTTTTTTTGAGAAAATGGCGTTTGAGTGTTTCTGAAGATGCGGAATTTTGAGCTAGTTTTCACAAATAACTGTTGAGTTTCCGAGAAACTGTATAAGACATTATTTAAAGCACATATACTCAAAGATAATAATGTGAACAAATCAACGCTAATGTAAATATTAACAACGTGAGAAACAAGTCAAAAAAAATTACATTTTTGTAATTTTTGAAAAAACAAAATAATAGAGCAATATAGTGTTTATGTCATCATATAGAGTACATTTAGCACTATCCCTACCAAAAGTTTAGAAAACAATTCGAGCCGTTATAGATAAAATCTTGTTTTTGTGTCTTTCTAAATTGCACATATTGGTTACAATATTGCACAAAAACGACTAAAATTTTCCAAACAATTGGGCACTAAATAAAAAAATTCACTACGGAGAACAAATTTTACTTGAAGGAAAATCTCTATCTTCAATTTTGTAGTTGTAGAGGGCCAAAAATTTTAAAATTTTCGAAAATTCAGTTAAACCTGAAAATTGGACCTATGCCACTTTAAAAGTGTATTTTACTCTATTCTTACAAAAAAATTAAAGAAAAAATTTGGAGACTTTTTGAGAAAATTTTGAAAATGTTCAAAAGTTCATGTAAAGTAGCCCCAAATTTTAAAGATTTTTTTTTTTTAATCTCAAAAGCTTCGACTCGAACCAGATGGACAGAGGTTTTTTCAATTTGGAAAAAATCTTATGTATGGGCGCTAGTGGTATCCACATACAGACAGCCTGCCATTTTGAAATAAATAAATAAATTTAAAAAAATAAAATTAAATACACTTTCTCAGTATCAGAAGACTTTAAAACATGTCTTACAGTTGAAATCTCAAAATAGATTTTCCGCAGCATTACATAACCTTCCCTATACTACATATAATACTCTGTATATACGTACGTATACGGCAAAGTAAAAAGAAAGAAACAATGATAAATGGGAAGATGATTATGGTAGTGACAAATCAGCAGCATAAGTTCCTTAGGGACTGGCAGGACCATGAAAGGGGGCCTCTGAATAAAAGTAAATTCCAGTTTTAAATAAGAAATTCCTACAAACAAAAAAATGTGATCAAATAAATTATTTGCTGAGAGTTACTTTAAAAAGTTATTGTCTATGTGGCTAGTTACTATTGCTTAAATAACAAGACCTCTTAAGGCAATCATTGGCAATAAATTTCAATGAGGGCTGTGCCTTTCATGAGCTAATGAAGAATGTTTAAAAGTGAGAAACAGAAGTTTATGAGTGAGAAACAGAAAAAGTTAATATTAATTTAAAAGGATGAGTATATGTTCTATAAATCTGCAGTCTAATAAGACTACAGAAATAACACTTTAAAATTAAGAAATTTATGAAGTAAAATGGCACATGACTGAGTAATTTATGAATTTTTTCCATTGAGCATAAAATTCAATGTTGTTGAAATATAATATTTTTCTACTGTTAGTGATAAATCTGTAAATCCAAAGAAAAGACCAAAATTTAAATTTTAAATTGCTTTATGAAATTGCAAATATAATAATTTATTATCTGTATTAAGAGTATTGTAATTAACATTTTCACTCCAAAATTCAGTTCATAAACACAAAACCAAATTAATGACATGTCTTTAATTAGGGGGCCCCCACGTTGAATTGGTCCAAGGGCCTCCTCTGTTGAACTTGCGCCACTGGACAAAAACAATGATTATAGTGATTTTAAGGAACAAGAAAATGGTGAAACTTCAGGCAATAAGTTTTAGCACTCTCATGAGCAAGACAATTTCTTAGGCAACTTTTTATATTATTTTGGTTCAACATTAAGAATTAGTTAAATTTTTTTTTTAATTATTAGGTGACTTTTCAAAATTAAGGGGTTATCTTATATTCAGGTAAATACATAATCAAACTTATTATTGGATACCATTATGAAAACTAAAAATTTTGATCACTTAATAAAAAATTAATTTTTTACTTCTATATGGAAAGCATTTAACCATATATTTCTGCAACAAAAAGGGAGGTTTACACTCCCAAGATCCTAACCAGGAATTTTAAAGGGTAGAGTGTTAAAACTCATGCAAGTCATATTTTTAATACATTTTAAATATTGTAAACCTCATATTAATTTGAAATTCTTAAACTTCATTTTCCAAATCTAGAACAAACAAAGTGATCTAATCAGACCCACATTAAAAATCACTCTTTGATACTATAACTGGTAATTAATTAATGTCAATCTATTTCCTTTTTTTTTATAGAGAAGATATCCAATTAACATGTCATAAAGAGCATTAAAATTGAACGACATGGCAATGAAATTATTTGATGGGTTTAACTTACTCAAGTCTTTTAATAATACCATTTCTTTCCCTTTATGTTTATGTGCAAAATGCAATAAAAAATAATCATTACCAACAATAAATTTCCAATTCACAGAAAAACATACCTGTCTTTTTATTATATCAAGATTTTCTTTTGCATAACTGATCATCTCACTTATTTCTGCTTTATCTTTAATATTCATATTCTCTCGAAAGCCATCTCGTATCCTCCTCAAAGCATACATTCTGAAAATATTAGTAAAAACAAAGGTGTCATGACAAAAGTATATAACTTCTCAGGCAAATCATTCACTTAAGTAATATAATGAAACTTGCATCAGGTACATTATATTATTAATACCTTTGTTTTGAAATCCTCAATGCTACAATTGTTTCAATTATTTTAATAATAACCTAAGCACTTTCAAAATTTAACTAGTAACTGAAACACTAATATTGTGTCTTTATTTTTTATTGATCATTGGAATTGCCCTTATGGTTAAGTTGGGTTAGATGAATACATTTTTCACTATAATTAATAAATATAACATTCTCCGCCTTATGAGTTAAATTTTTGGGCAGCACAACATAACCCCAAGAACAATTCCAATTTCTAAAAACCATGACAGCATTTCAGTTCAAAACAAAATGCATTAACATTACCTAAAATTATAGGAATCAAATTCCAAGGCTTCTCTCAACATTGTTTTGTACAATTTAAGAACCACACTCCTGGAATTGGCCATAGCCACTCCAGTCTTCTTGCCAATGAGCGTATCCTATCCTGTGTATATCTCTGGCTTGGCCAGGGCTTGACTGTGCCGCCGCAGGCGCTGCAGGTCGAATATGGTCCAACCAAAAAGAAAATGTGTTTGCGCCTGGTTGAACCAGAGAGTATATTGGGTTGAACCTGGTTAACTCTTTGTTCCAACCTTGAAACAACCGCTAATTTCGATTTATTATATTATTATCAAAGAGAATATTAATAAGTTAATAATAAATTAATAAGTCAGCAGGCGTGGTGTGGATCATGATGAATCTCCTTGCATCTTGCATGCGTGCATGATGGTTAAGCGTGTGTTCTTAAATGTGACGAATAATGCAGGTTCATGTGTGTCACTTGATGCGCGACGTTGTGCGTGTCCGTGACTATTAACCAGAGAATATACAAACGCGCCGCAAGACCACGCAAGACGAGAAGTAAAAGCTAAAGCAAAGGTTTTGATGCGCCGTACTTGTCTAGCGACATTAATAACCACAACAACCTGAAGTAACTTGAATGATTTACAGTAATTTAATGCTTCGAAACGTCTCAGACACTCATGAAGTCACTGATAAACACGTGTAGTTTTATGTAATTCGTGATGCAGCGAACTTCCTTACTAAATATCTTTGACACATGATATTTCTCAATTCAATCACAAGTGCTTGAGCGTGAAGTGTTGTGGTCCTTGATCTTCCTAAAGTGTCATTATATCCGGCAAAGCCTTTCACCTTCTTTTCTGGAAAAAAATTGTGGAATATTTATTCAAGAGAGGACATTGGTAATTTCAACTTAATTTTTTTCGCACTTTGCGATTTAACATCCCTAAAAGTTTCATTACTAGAAATTAACGATTGCGATCCTAACAAAGAAGAAAATGTTGGGAAAATAGATTGCGAATTGGACACGTTGCATATGTACATAATTTTATTTCAATAATTTCATATATGACTATAACCACTGAAACGAATGAACAAATCGACATTTATTAGCTGCTGAGAGATTATAGAAAAACATGATTTTTGAAAGGCGTGCAATAATAACTAGTGTTCTTAATCTGCGGCACCTGTCATCTAATGCAAAAAGCAAAGATATACCACACACAGCAATTGGAGGTTGCCATTATCCTCATGATGACTGGACCAATGTATCAACAAAAATTTTGTCATATGTGGGAAGGAATATCCATTTACAAAATAACCATCCATTGTCATTAATACGTCAAAGAATAGTACAATTCTTCCATAAGACATTCATTGGTCGCACAGGAAATGCAGTTTTTTCAATATATGATAATTTAAATCCAATTGTGACAGTTGAAGAAAATTTTGACAGCCTGTTGATACCAGTAGATCATCCCAGCAGAAAGAAATCAGACTGTTATTACTTGAATCAAAACCACTTACTTCGTGCACATACTACTGCTCACCAAGCTCGGCTAATGAGTATGGGCCTCAATAATTTTCTTATTGTTGGAGATGTTTATAGAAGGGATGAAATCGATTCTACTCATTACCCGGTTTTCCATCAAGTTGATGCTGTTCGGCTCCGAACTGCTCAAGATGTAAGTCCAGGTCAATTCTTAAGATGAGCATGTATTCATGAATTTCTTCTTAAGAAAAGTTGTATTTGTCCTTACACAGCTGTTCCCTCTTGACGCCTCCATTTTGAGTGTGTTTGATAAAGGAGTAGAGAGAACTGAAGAAACTCAAGAACACTATAATAAAGAAATATCTTGTTTGATGATAAATGAAATGAAAAAGACCTTGGAGATGATGGCATCAGAATTATTTGGAAAGGGTTTGTTTTATTATTGTTTACCAACAGTGTTAGTAATGTTGCTTATTAATTAATTCCTAATTTGTGGTTTGTGCATAGATGTGAAAACTCGGTGGGTCAGTGCATATTTTCCTTTCACTCATCCTTCCTTTGAACTGGAGATTTTACATCATGACAAGTGGATGGAGGTACTAGGATGTGGACTGATAGAACAAAAAATTCTGAAAACAGGTAATTTGGTGGAATTAGTTTATGAGAATAGTACCTTTAAATACAGTAATTAAAATATTGCACAATGTGATGTAGCTGGAGCAGTGAATCACATTGGGTGGGCTTTTGGCCTGGGTCTAGAACGACTTGCGATGCATCTCTATGAAATACCCGATATTCGTTTATTTTGGAGTGAAGACTTAGGATTTCTATCACAGTTCAATGTTGAAGATCCTAGAACTCCCATTAAATATAAGGTATACTACTCTTATACTTGTTTGTGATATTTGGTTTATACTGAATTTTCATTTTTAACGAAAATGTACATTTTCAGCCAGTAAGTATTTATCCTCCATGTAGTAATGACATTAGTTTCTGGCTTCCACAAGATGCTCCCTTTGCCTCAAATGATTTCTATGACTTGGTTAGAAATATTGGAGGTGATTTAATTGAACAGGTAATTTTTTAATCATCTTCAGCTAATTGTGTATTTCTGAAAATTCCATAAATTAATTTTATTTCCATAACTGACAGGTGAACTTAATTGACGAATTCACTAGTCCAAAGAAGAAAATGACAAGTCATTGTTATCGAATTGTATACAGACACATGGAGAGAACTTTGACTCAAGAAGAAGTTAATGTTATTCACAAGGATATAGAGAAAACTGCAGTCAATGAACTGAAAGTAACTATCAGATAATGAACTGTGTGATTCGATGGACTGTCGTAGGATAAAGTTTACATATGATGTCAGCAAGTGTTATAAGTAAATGTCAGCCCTGTCTTACTTATAAATAAAATTATATTTCATGTATTCTTTTACCCCAAGTAACTACCTGTATTACTAGTGGATATTGTGAAATCTGATAATTCAGTACTTTACTGTAAAATAACACAAAAAAAATTGAATGTTTGCTGAAAAAAAAAATCTCTATTTCTATTTCTATTTCTTATCTCACAGTACTTAGCTATGTCATTAAGGAATTGAATATACTAAAAAATTAGGCTTATTTTCAGAAATCAAGATAAAATTTGGTATACACCAAAGAGCTATTTCATTTTCAATTATTTAGTGTGGCTTTTTATAGCTAATTAAAAATTATGTTCTAAATTAATTAGGACTCCTTGATGAAAGCTTACTTGAGATTAATAGTTTTGTAGGGGACCCTCAATAATTAGAACTTTTCATCAACTCTTTCTGACCCTATGCATCGGACTCATATAAGTGACTTTCCTTCCTACCTGCAGCGTAACACCTGGAACTGACCTGCCCTCTGCCCACAAGTCACGCTAATTATTACATCAATTAAAAAAACACAGTAAATACACAATGCAACATATGTAATTACTACGATAAATTATATTACAATTATCCATAAATTATATTTTATTTATGGTGGCACCAACAAGCTGTTGAACTCTTCTGACAACAGTTTATATTGTAGTTAAAATTATGACTACCCTAGCTATACTTGAGAATGTTCAGTTTCTTTTTGAATGCAGTCTGCTAAAATTGCTTTCCATGCATTTACAACCTGGTTAACAATATAGTGAGACCGTTAATGTATACTTGTTCTTTTCATCAGCATCATATGACCTCTAAGCCTTGGTTCCAAGGCACTTTGCAAAAAAAGTTGTCAAATTCAGGAAAGTTATAACATCCATTCAAATTTTAAAAGTTTCTAAAATATCACCATTTCTTCTGTTGTAATGTCAAGAGTGACATTTCTCGGCATCTTCCTCCATAATTAAATTGACGCTATTCCCTAGGGTTCTTTGTTATCTGCATCTTTTCAATGTTTTTTCTTTTTGATAGTAGGGAGACCAAACTGCCTTAGCAAACTCAAGAATAGACCTAATGTATTCTGTATAGATCAGTATAAAGATAGGGAGGCATAAAGAATGCAATTCCAATCAGGTATAATAGTTTATATATAGAGACTAGCAATAAATTATAACAAGTGTTGCTCTGTTAATTGTGTAATTGTTACGCATTTATATAAAACATATTATAAATTCTATTCAAGAGCAAAATTGTGTATTATTGTCTCATGCTAAATCTCTATTGCATGAAAAATATGAAAATATAGTAAACCCTCATTAGCATTAACTTTGTTAACACGAATTTCACCACATCGTGAACAAAATTTGGGTCCTTGGAAGGAAACCTATTAATACTAAATAATAATCGGAGGACACATTTTTATAACACAAAAATGAATTATTTTGGACCCTTGTTTTTCGTTTCTCAAAACATGTACTCGTGCAATAAATAAAGCGTAACATTATAAACTAGTTGCTTATATACTACACAAAAAAATGTATGCAACTTGCTTTTTATGTTTAATGCTTTATAAACTAGTTTCATAATACATTATTATTGTACTAATATAATATTATGAAACTAAACATTTTTCTGTAAACAATAGTAGAACCACATTTCAGTAATTTTATTCAGTTTTTGTTTCAAAAGATTTAATGTACTAATCAGTGGCAAACCTGAAATTTTTCTGGGGAGGTAGGAGGCTATAGGTGTAGTATCTGGTCTTCATTGCTTTTTTTAAGAAAATTAACAAAAAAGGCATGCACATGCGTACACACTGTATTAGTATTCCCACTTCACCTGTTTCCACTTTCCTTTGTAGTTATTATTGTAACTGTCTTTTACACACATGAACTTTTTTATAAAAGAAACATTTTATGACAAATTATTATGTTATTCACTTATGTTTTCAATTGAAGATTCTAGTAATTGCCAAGCAAACAAAACAAAGGAAGCCACATGCAAGCTACTTTTAATAAAACACACACGGATTTTCAACAACGTACTTTAATCTGGAAAATTCATAAATAAATAAAACTTATTACAAAAATTAACATGAATTGTATTATTTTGAGAGTGGTGAGTAAAAATTGAAAGGGGGAAATTCCAAAGAACTTTCACTTACATGTATATAGTATATTTTAGATTTGAAAAAATATTTAGTCACAGTTTTATAACAGCCACAGTCTATAAAAGGACAAAATTAAATAGTAAATGCTCTCAAAATGCACATAATTATGACAACATAATTAAGATTATCACTCTACACAACATTAAAACATCAAAAACCATACACTTGACAATATTTGTCTATCAAAGGTAATTATACAAAAGAAATATCAGCAACTGACAGAGGCACAATGTCATTTGACACCAATTAGCTTCCTTAGCAAGCACAAGAGGTGGGAATAGCAAGGTTGACAACTCACTGCTGTCAAATAATACAGTGCCTAGCAGGAAAGGAAATGTGATTGCTACTTGTTTTTAAAACAAAAAGTATGGGTGCACACTAAAATAGAAAGGTGATATGTAAACAATATCACCAAAATCTAATTTATTTATAGAGGAAATTAAAATAAAAAGGGATCACAAGTTCGAGTATACCTTTCTGTACAATGAGTAATTGCCTTGGTAAGCAAAGGTCCTTGCTGAAAGCTCCAGCTAGTAACTTCTGCTTGAGAATCACTTATCTCCTGCGTCAATATTCACAGACCGATTTAAATTAATAAATACAACTTGATTATGTTTCACTATCTCTCTAGTCTTTGGTAGTATTTTTCAGCAAATTGGTTGTAATGGTTACTCACAACTCCTGAACACAGAATGAAAGATAGTAACAGACATTAAATTTAGGAAAGTTTTGAGTAACTAGGAGGTGAAAACTTCTTCCTCAAAAACTTGAGAATGTAAAGAGGCAAACAGCTCACTAGTGTAATGACCAGAACCTTCCACAAAAAATCTGTTGTCTGGATGAAATTAGAATCTGAAAGAAAGATGTGAATACTTCATCATTATGAAAATCAAGTAATAATTAAGTAAATTAAAGAAAACTGGTGAGCACTTACCAAAAGAATCTTTCAACACAACAAGTGAAAGAATGTATAGGCCAAGACTCAACAATTCAGCAAGGACCATGATGTAATGCCATGTGCGAACTGTTAAGGCAACCATTATAAGTTCGGTAAGAATTAATGCAGTGAAACTTATGGCCACAATGTGGATAAATTCATCTTCAAAAAGAACCAAGGCACCATACATGATGACACCACCTAAAATAAAAATGTTTTAAACAAAATGAATTAAGGAACTGTAGTAAGACCACTCAAATTATCTGATGAAACAACATGTATTCAAATGAATATTAAAATTATACTGATGTCATGAAAATCCCATCATTTATAAGATTTGTGTAAATTAAATATGTAACCAATTAATAAATTAGATTTTCTGTTACTCTCCTCATTTTGCTTCAGCTCTTAAAAATTGAACTTGAGAGTTAAATAGATAACTTGCTAGCTTGTGTTTCATATTTGGAGAACCCCCAAAAAGTAATATTAAATGTATTATTTTACCATTTTTTTTCTCATTTCCTAGTTCATGATGCTATGTTCTTCAGTGCAACTAATTGAAATTAACTTATCTTTCAACACTTAGGAAGAGCAAGAATTTAATCTAGTTAGCATTTGCCTCATTAGAAATCTAAGTTTTAACTCACCTTGGTAAATGCTGATGAGAACCCACATAAAAAAAGTTTTGAATGATAAAGATCTTCCCTTACTAAGCTCTTTGTATAATTCTGGATATGTAAGGGCAATTTTCCCAGATACATCTTTATCCAAAACCAATGAGAAAACAGGGAACATTGTGTAGAGAGTCGCATATCTGTAAATAAGAAGGAATTTTAAGTGTGAGCACTCATATAAAGTTAAAGAACATGGATGTCCTTAAGAAATACATACCCAACCATCAAGAAACCTTGGTACAGTGGCACAGAAGAAAAGTAGAAGACTGAAGAAAACACAGCCTGCATTGTGGAGATTATAAGACCACGATGAATAACGAATTGACTTAGAGATGCAGATCGTTTGTAGCTGTGCCGACCATGAACCAAGAGCAATCGTGCCAAGTGACTGAACTGGGAAATTGAAAAATCTGCAGCTAGAGATGCCTGCAGACCCTCCCGGCCAGCAATTCCAATTCCTGGTGAAAAAAATGCCATTGCATATTAATTCTCAATGTAAAAAAAGAGTAGTAAAAGATAAAATCCAAATCCCTTTTATATTATTATTGTGAATAGTCAGAAGATGTGGGTGTATTTTTAACAATATTCCACGTTGCTTTTGTTTTGAGTCCAAAATATCCTGATCGTGTTTCAAGATTTTAGCCTGTCTTATAAGTCTTTTTAAACATTGATTTGTATTTTTGGAAGTAGAGGTGGAAATCTTGAGATACATAGTAACTCTTAAAAATAAACCGAAGAATTCGTTTGAGATTACTTCATTTTACCCAAGTACTACTTTTCCACGAAATGTTTAATTCTATCGTTTTAAGAGGAATGCATGCATTGAAGTATTTCAATACTTGGATAACACAAGGAATTAGAACATCGTGTAAAAACAAACATACTCTATTCATTATTTCTGAACATCATAATATAACCCGGTGACCATGTCTACTTCTGAAAATACAAAAGTACATATTGTAAGAAAAGTAATAGCAGAGACAAAAATAATGGAAAATGATCAGGATATTTTAAATGCTAGTAGCAAAAACCGAAAACCAATATTGTAAAAAAAAAAAACTTCCAATTCAAATGAAGAAAATACTGAACATGATCCGCAAATGGAACCAGCACCAACTTCTTTACAGTTCTACATACAAGGAAAACATTTCAAGAAGAAAATTGGAGCAGTTTTTGAGAAAATTGTTCAAAATTTAAAATTGCCTATGTTCCAGGCCAAATTCCGCAAAAACTACACTGATTCAAAAAAATTGAAATGATCGTATTTAAAGATTTGTTGTTGATCAAAAGATTTCATTAAGAAGAAAAATTATATAATATTATTAATAAAATTTCATAATTGTAGCTGTAGGAAGAGACTGAAAATTTTTTTTTCAAAGACCTTTAAGACCTTCCCACTCTCTTTAATGTTCTTCATACTATCCAACAACAAAATTGAAACTAAAACGAAAACGATTGAATAAACAAAGAAAAGAATTGAAGTCAAAATTTGTTGAAACAAAATTTACAATTGCCTAAATTTCACAAAAGTCATGCAACAAATACTCAAATATTTGCAAAATTTTACATGACCTCATTTAAAAATCTATCGTAAGGAACATATTTTATTAGGAGAAAATATTTCTTTCTTTAATATTTCAGTTGTAGGTGTTCAATTTTAAATTTTTTAGAAAGTTAAAAAAAAATGAGACTTGCATCATTCTCTTAAACAAAACTATCAAATAACAAAATTTAATAAAAAAAACAATGGAGCCTTTTTTTTTGAAAATATTGAAATCTTCCTAGGGGCTTCATGTAAAATTCCACCCAAAATTAAAATATAATTTTCAAATTCAAAAGGCTGCAACATTAGACTGATCGATTGGGGAATATCAATTTTGGAGAAAATCGTCTGTTAGTGTTGTTCAAACGTTTTGCTGCCAAATCGATTTTTTGGTATCAAAAACCCACAAAACATGGATTCTGGCTACACCACAAGTTAAAGGATATTTTTTTCTAATTTTAGCATCAGTGTTTATCAGCTTTTTCATTGCAATGGCCCTGGCAAAAATTCGTGTTTTTTTCGTGCAGCTTTACATAACTTTCTCCTTATTGCAGTTGCGAGAAAGTGAAAGTTGGGAGAGTGCTGCTATTAAGTATTATGTTAAAAAAGTTTTATTGCTTACCAGCATCAGCAGCCTGGATCATGCTAACATCATTTCCTCCATCACCAACAGCAGCTGTCCTCTTTCCTGTATGTCTCTGAATGAGACGAACTACTTCAGCTTTTTGGGTGGGAGAACAACGGCAACACACAACTGCAGGGCAACTACATGCAAGTTCCAAGAATTCATGCTGATAATATTGTAAACACACCTATAATGGAAAGAACATTTTAAGCATACTGCAATAATTTAATAATTTCACAAAAGATAGAACAATTCCATTTATTACACAAATACTACAAATTTTTACATAATGAAGAACTGACTTCAATCATCAAATTCCACTCATACGTCTCCATTACATACGGTTTTTATCCGACATTAAAATGACCCCCGATTTTGAAGATTACTCCAAAAAGTTTTTCCATTTCCATTACTTTTAACTGTTCAGTCAGTACAACATTATAAATTGTCTTGTACATGACAAAGTTAAGTGTACTTAGAGATATAAAATAGTGATACAAGTTAAAGTCTTTTACCACTATTTTCTTCTCCCTGGAATGGTTATCTCTAACATCTTCATTTTCACGCATCATTGTTACTATCTTTCTGGTCTTTCTCCAGTGTGCTCGCTGGTCACCTGAAACTGTTTACCCTGAACTTCCTTGTGGTTTACTGTTATCTCTGCTAGGAAACACATGATAAAATAGCCAAGGAAGATACCAACAAGACTTAATTTGCAAATATAAGACAACACCACATCACCTAATAATCTCGGTCCTCGGCTGTCAGTCTCTGCCGTGCGTGTGTGTGTGTGTGTGTGTGTCTCTTACAAATGTATACAATTTTTTTTTTCTTTTTCTTAAGCAAGCAAATTTTGGAGTAAATATAGTAAGGCAAACAAGATGATGAATTTTTTCAAAAAAACATTCTTCCAATTTGTAATTAGTTTAAGAAGAAAAACACTTTCTTCATAATATTTCTAAATTTTTTGAAAACAGTAGGGAAGTGTGAAAACTGAAGATTTTGTATTTATTGGAATTATTCCATTTATTACTAAGAATCACAGTTAAAACTTTGAGAGCTGAAGCATTGCATGATATGGTGATGTACACCACAGTGATGCACACCATCAAAATTAATACTAACCTCCAAAGAGTCGCCACTGATCACAAGAGCACAGTCCTGTTTCTTTCGAAAAGTATTCAATTCCAAGTGGGCATCTGTCCTAGTCACAACTGATTTGAAAATATGCAGTCCTTGAGTACGAGACACTAAACGGGAACTTTTGGCTATGCACGTAGCAGTTTCCAGTTTGTCTCCAGTCAACATCCAAATCTGAAACACAAATATAAAAAATCCTAAAAAAATTGAATAATCATCAATGGAAAAATATTCAAGTAGAAAGTTACAAAATGTATGTTTGTTATAAACAAGAGGGGTTACAAAATGGCATAAACATTTCACATACTACAGTCAACTCCAGTAATAGTGAACTTCACCAGTCATATTTCACTTACATTACAAATAAGCACAAGAAGATTCAGTTATAATGAAATCTGCGCCTTGGCTATAGTGAACGTAAGAGACATCCAGGAAAAAAATTTCCACCTGGAAAACACATATCGCCTTAGTGCCACAAATTCCAACATTAGGCAGTTTGGAGAATATGTTGTCGGCCAAAGGTCATAACCGAAGAGGTGTAGGTAGCAGACCCAGAACAGGGACCTTACTGAAGGCCATGCACAATTTCACTGCAGTATCAAAGGTAATGATCTGTATAGGCAACAATCAGCCTTAGCGACAAGCAACAGCTTGCATTAGTTTCAAGGTTGATATACTTGAAATTCCCCACAGCCTAGTGGCGAGGTATACTGGTTAGTGTGTCTGACTATTGTACCAAAAGTTGAGGGTTCAAACCAGATCAAAAGGTCAGAAAAAACCTTTTCCCCTTTCCTTTGGAGGGGAAGTTAAGAAAGCTATCCCACGTACATTTACTGGACGTAAAAGAATCTCAAGCCTAAAGGAGGTCTGTAGGCTTTAATTCTCATTCGCCTCTTTCCCTACCCGAGTAATATGAGCCTGATGGCCCGAGTCTTGCTACATAAAAAAAGGCAATGACTAGTCATTCATTGCGCAGAAAAGCAATTATTTTCATTACTCATTTATACCATGTTGCAACTGAAAGATACATGTTGTATGTTATTAGGGGAATAAAAAGGTAAAAGTTGAAGAAGGATGTCATGACTGCATTACTGTATTAGAGACAGTGGACAATGCAGAATGAAGTATGGAGAGAGCAAAAATTCTGCAGAAGGATCTAGAGAAATTACTAATGAAAACTGTATGAAGCAAATGATTGAAAATAATAGATTTTTTTAATATCAAATAAAGATGCTGTAATTTTTAGTTCATGTTGTTAATAAATTTTGCTGCATCTCTACATTAATAAAATTAGTAATTGTGGAGAAATTCTATTTAATTTTGACACTAGATGTAATGAACCAAAAAATCCTAAAAGTTCATTACAACTGGAATAGAATGTTGTAAGTTTCCCAATCACTTTAGTGTGGTAACTATTCGATTTTGCTCCACCCATTCCCCAGCTGCTACCCAACAGCACCTAAAAGACATTATAAAAATTTATTCATATATACATCCATTGGGTGAAGCCCATTATAGGATACAAACGAAATAGTTATGAGAAGGTGCCAATTCATCCTGCAAGTAACTGCCATCAATGAATCAACAAAAATTTCAATATTGCCACCAGTCTCATTTAAAAATGTATTTACAAGTTCATTCATTTTATTTATAGGCACATTTTTGTGACAGTCGAGAATTGGTAGGGCACACATACAGAGGTTGGTACTAGGAAACAGAAATATCAATGAAGACTAACAAAAACTAGAATCTATGCTGTTACATAGTATTTTGATTAAATACATATCTTGTATTTATATTTGAGGTGCTCAGAATAATAACAGCAATCCCAACTGAAGTTCATTTTGAGAAAAAATATATTTTTGAGTTTTTGTTCATATTCAGTTCCACTCTGGAAAAATGTTTGAAGGTGGAATTTGGGGGTTTTGCCATATCCCAATTCATTTGATATTTCAGCCTATGATGGGTATATGCCAGTTTACAGTCGCATTTCTCACTGAAAAATCGAGGTTGGTTGGGATTTGCTGTTATTATTCTGAGCGCTTCATTTCTTCGGCAGGCTAACGTATGCAAATCAAAGTGTTGATACTTCCAATCCTATAATACTAGAAACGAAATCAATCTGAGAAGAGTAAAACCTGTCTGTTCATGCAAATTGTTAGTGAAAAACTTGAAGCCTTTTTTGAAAAAAAGGGCATTTGAATGTTTCTGAAAATGCATAATAATGAGCTCATTTTCACAGAAAACGGAGTTTTCCTTTTTCACTCACTTTCATATTTTCTCTTACAATCAATTCTTCCAAACTAGTTTATTTGAAAAAACACAAAATTAATTGAATTCAACTTGATTGCAAACAAATTTCAAATCTGAACACTTAAACCCTCAACTTGCTTTACAATGAAGGGTGCATGAAAACAACAGGACAACCAAAAGGATACAACAATAAGACTAAGCCAGGTAGAGAGAAATTTTTAAAATAAACAACAAAGATAATATCAGAACATCATAGTCGGCAATCGTTACTCGTTGCCATTTATCGCTAGTCGTTGCCATTTATCGCTTATCATTACCATTTATCGGTTGATGTTATTTATCGGTTGTCGTTGCTGGAAGTCCTATATTTCTCAAAGAAGAAGTGATCGATGGATACATGTATTTTGTAACTTTGTATTTTCTCTTCTCTTTCTCTCCTAATCTATTTTATATTATGTAACAGTAAACTGTAATTACATGAATATAATATGCCCCACATATATGAAACATAAAATTATGAAAAAAGGTTTTGTATCAGATGCAATGCGCATCAGTGATAGAACACTAGGTATGTATTTTATTTAAATTTATGTAATACAACAATGGATTTTTCGTATGCAATTGGTATTCTAATTGCTTTACTGTTAACTGTTGTATGCTTTAATGAAGCATCATGAGACATTCTTCCCTATTTGCTCTATACTGTAACTAAAAACCCTCAATAATAAGCCAACGATAAGTGAAACTGGGTTGAATTTAAAAACTTCAGCAATCCATTTTGACTTAAGAAACTAAAAAACTAAATGAAGTAACTGGCATTGTACGGAATGAATTTGCACTTGAATGTAATGCACCATTGAATCCCATATGTATCATGATTTTGAGTACTGTGTTTGGTCAAAAATGGTGTGCATAAGATTCATGTACATATGATAATTGTTTTCTGTCCATTAAAATAGTCTAACCAAGTAGTTCTTGAGCAATCTTGCACAGCATACAAGCACAGAATATCGGATAAGAAACAGTAGGCAAACAACTTCAATACTCAAATAATTTTAAAACTTGGAATTTGTTTCCTATCATTGGTTTTGAAATATATGCTATTTTTGTTCAACTGTTTTCTTATTCACCAAAATCCACTTGCTCTACTCTTGACATTCACAACAGTTCACACATTGTGACAGTTCATAAGAGAGCAAGGCAAAATAGTAAAATCATACATGAGCAGCCCAGCAACATGCACCCAAAGGGCTAGTTGAGCCAAATGTTTTTCAGATCATGGAGCAAGATTTTAAGGACATTCATTAAAAAGCAGAATTTTAAAAAAATCCCTCAAGAAAAAGGTTTCATTTCTGTGCTCAATGTTATTGTAAATTACATACTTTTATACCAGCATTCCGCAAGAGTTCTAAGGTTGGTCTCACACGATCCTGAAGGCGATCTTCCACTCCAGTCACACAAAGCAGTTCCATTTCCCTCTCAAGGCTTTCAATTACTGCAGCAACTCTAGCAACACGATCTGACACACTCATTCGAGCAGCATTGTAACGAGCCTATTGAAAAGAAATAACATTTATATTAATTTTATAATACATATATAATATTATATAATACCAAAATAACGTAAATAAATTAAAAACATACCTCAAAATCTAAGTACTGTTCTTCACTTAGGGCCTTTTTAGCAACAACCAATGTTCTCAAGCCCTCTCTTGCCATATTTCCACATTCTTCTTCCAACCAATCATTATACTGCACAATTCCAGACATAACGACATCTGCTCCTTTCAAATAGAAAGTTATTTCTCCACTATGATTTTCCTAAAGGTAGGATCAATTAAATTAGTACTGCACCCTTTTAGGCACATATAAATTACTCTGCAATATTATACAATCACTGTTGATCTATTAGCCCATTTAAAAGTATATCAATAATACCTTCACAATAATGCCCATTCGCTTGGTCTCAGAAGTAAATGGAAATATCTGGAGAATAGAATATGTTAAAAGCTGGCCACTTGGTGTACGCAATTGCATACTAACAAGATCCCTTCGCACAAGGGCCAATCCCACTTGCTCAGTCCATTTCACCAAGGCAACCTATAAACCAATTCCACTATTACAAAAAAGTGCTATTGTAGAAGGAATCACTTCAAATTGTTCTGGATCAAATATTGCTGCTATATTTGAAACAATGTATGTAGTCTAGTGTAAGTAAGTTCAGGGGTTTTGCATGACATTTCCAACCAGTACAGTCAAAAATCAAAATTTAAAAAAGAAAAATCTATGTGGAACAATCACCAACCGAGATATATGGGTCTGATAAATTTGGGACCAAATTTGCATTCATAGTAGAATAGATCCGACAAATGTCACATATAATATTTTAAGTTTTTATGTCTAAAAATTCACAAGTAATACTCCTCACAAAACCTAACATGTGATTAGATTTGTTAACTACATAATCAATATGGAAGTTTAATCTCAAATTGTGGTCAAATATCATTCCCAGATCTCAAATTTGGGAAACTGTTTCCAGCATGACATAATCAATTCTAGAATTAAATACATTGGATTTTTTGATTTTGAGTACAGTAAGATTTATTTATACATGTGTTTCAAATAAATCAGCTGTTGATGGTTTCATCTAATCAGGAACTTGTATGTTGCTATAGTGACGTCATTATGGTGACTTTTAAAATGGGCACACACACGCCCACACACCCCCCAACCCTCCGCCCCCTATCTATAATCTATCTAAAAAAATATCATTTTACATAACTTAGATATTAAATGTGGTAAATTAAAGGTGTTGTCTTGTAGTAAAAATTTATTTTGCCAATGATAGTTTCGATCGCATAGCAATCAATCATCCTCAGAGCTAAAATTAGAATATTTTTTATTAACTTTTACCTAATTATTTATAATTCATGTATTAATATAATTTTTATTTCAATAATTCTAATTTTAGCTCTGAGGATGATCGCTACATGATCGAAATGACCACCAGCAAAATAAATTTTTGATACCAGACAACACCTTTCATTTACCATATTTAATTATTAGAAGGTATCTACCTCAACAGCAATTTAATTAAATAACTTAGATATAATAGACATTAATGAAGTACAGCAGTTTTCACTGTGAATGCTGAGTCTCTAATTCTCAGATATGAATAATTAATTTATGTTCTAAGCCATGATCACAATTTATTAAATTCATAATTCGAATTAATTGTACATGCAAAACTGGTGTTGAAAGCATTCAGTCAGCTCGATTTCAAACAAATATTATTGTAATTTTCTACACACTTGGACTAAGATGTCCTTACATTAATAAAATAAAAAATAACTAGTGTATTTTTATTACCATGCCCAACTACCCACGAGTAGAAAGATATATTAAAAATCACTTTTTAATTACATAATGACTTCTAAGGCACAGTGACTTTTTTCTGGCATATTTAATTTCATGAGGCTCCAGATGTTTAATTTCATGATTCAGCAAATGCAATTATCATAATCAAGTCTCTCCAACCCATTTGAAAAGTAATTTATGGACTGCGGCCATTGGGATTTATATAAATCATCATTTATAATGACAACGAGAACAGTTTTCTTCCCAGCACCACGAAATGTTTTTATATTATTTACAAAATTGTATTTTTAAAATGAACAATTTTACCCTTTAAGACATTCACAATTTCTACGAATTACATCCAATTCATTGCCACTGTTGTGCTGCACCTCAAATGCCATACGGTTGGCCAAACGACTTCTGAAAACTTACAATTGTTAGTTTGGCAACAGATTTCAACAAATTACCTTTCCCGTAATTATATTTTAGGCAAAAAAGGAATGTATAGAAGTAGAATTAAATCTAAATACAATTTTAAGTAAAAAACGCTAAATTAAATAAAAATTAGAATTTCAATTTACTCCAACAAGAAATACATACATTTGAACACATAACAAATAAGCAAAACTAACCTCATCAGGACTTGATGCTTGATACAGACAATTCTTCTGCTTATGCTGGCTGTAATGCTGGTCGGCTTCTGTCTGACTCTCAATAGAACTAGGACTATCCAGGTCAGTGTTCACTATTCCAGGTGCATGCGAATCTTCTTCATAGACAGGGGTGACATTGTGGCACAAAGCAACGGCTTTCACAGCCTCTTGCACACGTGTGACTTCTGACCTTCGAACTTTGGCGCTACCACTTGCCAGGCCTGAGGGACCTAAAGGAGAGGCGGATTTGCTGCCTCCCCCAGCCTCAACACTCTTCACAGAAGGAAGAGGTTGGGAATACGCAGCCTTCAAATTTGAAGAAACCTATGGGCAAAGGTAAACCTCATTTATTATGGTTTTAAGGCACTCCAAACAGCAATAGGGCAGGTTAGATCATATGCTGCTTGTAGCAAATTGCATATGGAACTTTCCCAGCTTATGCCTGAAAGTGGACAGGTCTTTATTTTATCTCACAACCCATGGAGCATCTGCTCTTGTTTTGTCAATTGCAAATATTTGCCTTCATTTAACACAGCTGTGGCTGGTACATTGGGACAGCAAAGGAGGAGGAGAGTGTCAGGTCATAAGCTGCAGTGACACTTTGTTTTCATTTTACCCATTCAAGACTTTGAAGGAGTAGCACACACACAGGAATGCTTTGGAGCTGAGCGAAGAAGGGCATGCCAGGGTGGGATGGCGTGGGTGTGTGAGTATGGGGAACACACATTGAGAAGAAATGACACACAGAGAAGAATTGATGGTTTAAATTTTGTACCTCCATGCGACCAATGCACAGTGGTTCGTGTTTGTGGGAGGAAAGCCATAAATAACATTTCTAAGATGTCCATCAGGAATTTTATTAAACATAATATACTATATTTTGATTGCAGAATTGTAGTTATAAAAAACAATTCTTAAAAACAAGTTTTGAACTGTACTTTTCTTACTTTCTGTCTACAATCTCCAGTAGGGAGAATAACAATAATTATGGGAGTAAAATAGCACAAGCACAAGTTAAACAACATTTGTGAAATAAATGTGAATCACTTCTATGTGCTAATCATTGACCTTGCCCCCCCAACTTAAGTTTCGCATCAATGAGTGTCAAAAAATCATTCACTTTACTCTACAGTCAATATGTAACAACGTTAAATTTTCCAATGTTAAAATTGTGGTTCTCCTCTTTCCACTCCCGTTACTCTTCATTCTTTCATAGAAGAAGAGGTTGAAATTTCTTTCCAATTCTTTAAGTATTAATAAAATTCAAAGATTTGGTAACATAGCTAATACAAATTGTATCCTAATTCCATGTTCTTTTCAACCAATCTATTAGTTATGATTGTCAATGGAGCTACAAGATTTGAAAACTCACCTCATCAAATGTTTCTGTTCCGTACGAAACTGTGCCTAAATGCAACTTTTTGAATACCATTTCATTCTGAGTAAGGGTTCCAGTCTTGTCACTCAGTAAATATGATATTCGACCAAGCTCCTCTGGAATTGTTGTAGATCGAACCACGGTCCCTGGAATCTCTTTGTCTCGCTGTATTGACCATGAATAAAAGGCTTTCCCCATGTCCAAATTTACTCGTAAGCTAAACCCAACACAATAAATTAAAAATAAAGTATAAGAAATATAATTCAATACCACAACTCAGCTATAATAATTTCCAAATACCTGATAGGAATAATGTATGAGAAGAGAAGAATAAACCTGAACATGTATCGATACCATGGTCCACCAAATCCTTTCAAGCACATCATAACCAATGCTAGACCAATTACAGCTCCAAACAGAACCTAAAAGACAAATCAAGACAGTATAAACTACAACTTCACAATTTATAAAATTAATTGCGAAGACTTCTAACACACCTTAGTCAGTTGGTTGATTTCCATATCAAGAAGTCCAACTTTACTTCGGGGCTGTGAATTGTTCATCACGCTGCGCGTTTCAGACCCTGTATACACCACTACTCCCAAAGCTGAGCCTGACGCAACCACACAATTTGCCCACAAAGTGTTTTCAACATCCAAAGCATCTTCACTTCCATGACCATCATGCTGTAAAATGTCATTCACAATAAAACTTCACATAGGCAATGACCATACATCCACAAACACATTACGAATGCAAGTGAATGCAATTTTTTAAAACAACAAAGTTAAAATTAAATTGAAATTGAAATTTTAAATTATCTGCGATGCCTTTAGCAATAGTTTCATTCAGTACAAGAAAGGAAGGAATTAAATCAAACAATTGCATTATGTAAAGTACAATCAATTATTAAACGAGTAAAGTGCTAAACAATTAAATACAGAACATCTTATGAAGTCTTTTAGCATGCTGAATGGTATCTTTCATGGGCATTGAAGGTTGCTCACATTTATTTTCACAACACCTGGCTCGACTTCACTTGTCAAGAACCCCTCCCAAATATTTACTACTAAAGTCGGATTACCACATATCTACTCAGCATGTACCACAAGAGTTTTGACAGGAGAGTTTAGAATTCTATTGTACAAGTTGATTCAAAACTATTTTACTTGCACTTTTGAATTGAATTGAATTTAATTGATGCCTTATTTTACATGGTGAGACTCGTGCCACGAAATTTCGCTACGCTATAGAGTATTTTCCAGAAGTTTGCAGTACAATTTTTAGGCTTAAAGTACAAGTTACCAAATAATGAAAACAATATAGATAATTTGCCGTCTACACTGAGTGACAAAACACTAAGTCTATTCAACACTGTTTCTTTTCACAACTTTTTTCTTCAAGCTTGACAGAAAAATCAAACACTAACTTGGGTTTTTTCAAAACACATTAAAAAAGAAGCCAACTACATACGTTTACAAAATTCATTTGGGTTTTCATTAATTTGAAATGGATTTGTAATTGCAACACATTAAAAATAAAAGAGAATGTGCTTATAATATTAAATGAACACAATTCTTGAGTGCAACACCGCACAGCAATGCGTTCGTGTTTCACGCACTAGCAAACAACTGTTTTATTGGACGGGATAAGAGCTCTTTTCAGTGGAGATATATATCTCACATGCTTCATTCAATGTCACACATACTTTCTCCTATAAACTTGGGCTAGCTGTATGTTTCATCTTCGAGACATGTCAAGTCACTTCCTGAGATCGCCACTGCGCAAACGCAGAGGCGATCGCACACTCCACCAAATGCTCCTTCACTCCAGAAAGCTACTGTTTTCACTTAACCCTTCAGCCCCACAGCAGCCAACAAGGCACTCCACTAGTTCGCAATTCTCGAGTGTGCGCCAGCTGGCTTTTACGACACTTTACTGGCAACGACTGTTAATTGCCACCTCCAGCATGTCTTTTGAAATTCCATACTTAGGAAACGTTCTGAGAGGACTTGTATTCCCGTCTCTTTACAGATATTTCCGAGAAAATGCACCAAATTAATCTGGGTGTGCACATGCGAATGGGCGAATAGGCATGAGCTGCTTTGGTGCTAAATAAATTTGCCACATGAAACTTATTGAAAAATGAGCAGTTTTTACAAAGAGATATTTCATCTCTGAAGCATTACATTCACATCAGTTTTATTTAGACTGATATGTCATGTCATGATTTTGTAATCCCTTATTTCGTAAAATAATTATAGTCTAGTCAAATGGTGCTCAAAAGGGCCCGACCTAGGAAAAAATTCCAGAAGTTTTTTCTCAACGGTTCTATATGTTTTTGAGGGTGCTGAATTCAAAATCAATGTTTGCCACCTCAAAAAAATAAAGGTCGTCTTTACAGAGAAAATTGCAATGTTGCATCTGATAGACTGCCACGTCTGGTTACACTTTACACAAGTTTTTAAAAGAATATGATTTATCATTGTTTTCTCTGCTGATTACTTATCCTCATTTTATTCTGTAGTGATACTATTTCTTTTTTAAACTGCAGTTTGCATTTCCAAACATCTATCCTTCCTTCCCATCTCTCGCAAGATTGGAAGGCTGGAAAGAGCTATTCTCCCACTTTGGTCACATGCCCAATGAGTAACCATTTTTCAGCACGCTCTCGCACCTAAACTGGTTTTCAAAAATTTTAAGTTAATAAATGTATATTGTAGGAAATGTTGTCTACTTTATTTTTTAAATACCAATTGTTACAGTAAAACACATAGTTTTATAGATGTAAGTGAAACACTAGAAACAGGATGCAATTTTTTGAATTTTTTGCAATTTTTTCAGTGAAGCCAACCTTTTTGAGGTGGCAAACAAAAAATTTTTCGGAATGTTTTCCTAGGTTAATTTTATTGCCTAATATTTTTCCTATGAAAGTTCTAAAACATCAAAAAAATATTAAACCACTCTTTCCTAACAAGGAACTATATTTTGAAATAAAATACTAAAAACAGTAACACAGTAACAATTTTTGTTTTTGTGGTTTTTGCCATTTTTGATAACAAAAGTATTTTTTGGCACTAGTATTTCAAAGATTTAAATCAATTTTCTTTAATCACTGCTTTAAATCATTTTAAGAAGTTATTAAAATAAATATTTATTAATTTCAAAGAACTAAGAATTATTACAAGATTTTCAGATATGTGGCTGTAAATAATACAGCAATGTGGCTAAAAATTTTATTGATAACTATTATAATTTCAAAAAACACTGTATATGAAGAGCACTTCTCATATTATTATTAGAGTTGTTACATGTATGAAAACACATTTCCCCATGCTCCTCCCCAAGAAAGGAGGAGATTGCTCCCCACACATCTTAAGTTAAGCCATAGCCTGAGAGTATGCATCCAAGCAAACTATAGATAAGCAATGCCCCCAGTTTTTTCTGGCATACACCTCGCATTTATTTGTCCTACATTCTACATGCTACAAGTGTATAGCATCTTTCTTTAGTGTAGTTTTTAAAAATTTTCTCCAAGACTTCCGATATCTGAACAGCATTTTCCACATAACAGGATATTTACATACAAAACAAAGCTTAATAAAATCAAGAGGCAGTTTAGAAATCCTCAAAACTCAGAATTCTTAAGAGTTAAAAATTCATCATCATTCATCAATGATATCACTTGAAAAAATTTATCATAAGTTTTCGAAACCCCAACAGTAACAATACATAGAAAAGCCAAAGGCTGTCATTATAGTGCTCTGGAGACCTCATCACCAGTTGCCTTTCAAGGACTCAAAGCGGAATACCAGTTTTCAGTCTCCCTCTAAATATTAATGCAGCAAATCATTCCACCTTAGTAAAATGTAAATATTGGTTTTTGTTTAGCTATTTAATGAAATAGATTAATTCAACAACAGTTGAATATTTTATCACCCAACATTTACTGATTATCTTTAAAAACAAGTAATAACAAGGAATTCAAACCTTACAAGGCAAGTTTTAAAAGAGACATGTACATGTAAAACCCTTTATTGGAAACAAAAAGAGACTACTTATGTAGAATAACACATTGCAGTGATTAAAACTAAAAAAGATTTAATATGCATTCTATTATGGATTTAAATTTCATTTTAAAAAATATGATTGTTTTTTATCTTGATGTTTAGAAACCCTATTTGGCATAAATGAAAAAATTAGAAGGCCTTACACAATGATTTTATGGGGTATAAACAGGGATTCTGTTTCGGGGAAACTAAGAAAATGGTTATATAGTTTATAAACTATATCCGTCAATGATTTTGCTTTTTTTTAAACAGCACCAAGTAAATTTTAACTCGCTTTAAAGTGAAATAAAATAGTCTGACAGGTAATTTGACAGTTTAATATCTACCAGTTTAAAACCACATCCTTTCTACAAAATTGCAGGCTTTTCATAAATAAAAAAATCTCTAACTTACTCGAGTGAATGTTCCAATGAAACTGTGGATATCTCTTTGAGGTTTTTCCACAAAAAGGGTTGCTTTAATGTCAAAGAGCTGATTATCAGAATCAAGTTTTTGAGTTGCAGGTACTGCAAGGCGTAGTTTCCAATCTGTTTCACCATCCAACTGGTCAGTTCGAACAAAACAAGCTCCAGATCGTTCTGTAGTTCGAAGCAGAACCAAATCGGCAGGCACTCTCTGATCCTTCTCCACAATTACCTATGTAAATGCAATGAAATACAATTATACTTCTTTGATATACACAGAAGAAACGTCTGGAATTATTTAAGAAATTCATGCTTTTAAATTGTACAACATTGAGGACAAAAGCAAACCAACAACAACACCAACAACAAAGTAAAATATTCAAAATTATAAATTATAAAACAAATTCTGCACAAACAACTGTTAGGGATTTTGCAAGCAAACAGTTTCTACAATTATGCCTTTTTAAATAGCAATTACCCTCACCAAATCCAAATCAAAAAGAAATTTATTGTCAATGAATATACCTAAAATTATTTAAGTTTCCCGCAATAACCACCTACCATTAATTTGCACCAAATTGCTTTGAGTCTCCAAAGAGACTACCAATGCATTTATTCAGCTGCAGTGATCATAATACAAACCAAACAGAAGTCAGAACCTTCATCAGCAAATTCCTCTATTGCTTACCGACTTTCATGAGAAAATACTGAACTACTAATAAAACAAATTCAAGAGGGTATTTTGGCAAACTCTTGTACAAGTGGTCAAACTCATGAATTTGTCTAATAAAATTCACTGACAAAATAAATGAATTCTTTGCAAATTACTATCTATCAGGAACAATATTAACTGTCACACATTAAATATGGTCACACTAAAATTGTCTCACCATAGATTGGAAAAAAAGAAAAAACAACCTATGTGTTTATTGAGACACATTGCTAAACACTAACTGCATATTGGGATGTGCTGAATATAATTTTAACAGACCACAAATTTTTGATCCTACACCTATTAATTTCACCTTAACAGATAATTCATATGAAGTCAATGAGAACAATTTTTGTAATTTTTGTTTATATACATAGGTATATAAAAGTAAGTCTAAGAAGGGACCAAAGTGACAGTTTGGGAAACAAGTGAACTTCACGTTTACTTCAGAGAAGGATCCCTCTACTGCGACTGCTGTTCATCCTTGCCTCTTTACAAAATGTTAAGGTTTGTGAATGACTCTCGTAAACTTGTCACAGGTGGTCACAAATCACATGGTAAATATATGCACCCAACATTCAAGATTCAGTTTTAAAATCTACATGTTTATCACAACAATAATATGAAATATACTGTTTGTAAAAAAAGGAATTCAAATAAACAAACTGTACAGTACAATCTATTTTCCATTATTTCTATTTGCGGTTCATCTTTTGGACAAATGATGACAAGAGGAAATGTTGGATCCATATATAAGTGAGCAAATGAATGAAAGAAGCCAGGAGGGCCAATTGACATTACCGATAAGCTCATGGACAAAACCTTCAGTTATGTTGCAGGCAGCAGCAGTCACTTTGGTCCCTTCTTAGGCTAATTTCCCTACATTTGTGATGATTATTCATATTTGGGTAATGAAAACTCTCGACTCCTTTTGCAACAACAATTTATTTCCGTTATAATACTTACAACCATGAACAAGTGATCATGTATCTTCATAATTAGTGCATATTTATGTGTAATATTAAATGCTTTAGAGTCGCCAAAAAAAAAACTTGTTAGTCACCTTAAAATAAATAGGAAAAACTCTTACCATATCACCAACACGCAGTTTTGATGAAGGAACAAATTCGTCCCTGCATTTTGTAAGTCGCCTGTATTTCTGACTGTTCACTTCCTTATCTCTCTGATGGCGTCTAAAATCATCGACCGCTTCTCGACAAATGGTTACTGTCAGAACGAACGTCTATAAAAAAGAAATAATAATAATAAATCGTAGGGCGTAGAAACTGACAAAGTACAAAAAGGAAATATTTTCAATCATTTAAAATCCTACAAATTTCTTTTACTTTCATTTTTGCAATGAACCACAATAAAACTAATACTGAAAATTATTTTTATTAACACCTGCGTATCTCCCTAGTTTCAGTACCTGGAGAACACCAATGGGGATGAGCTGGGGGAGTGGAGGAACGACAGTAGGCCAGAATAAAATGCAAAATATTCTAAGAGAAAATTTTATAATCAACGGACTCTTGCTACATGTCTTTAGCAACATATTACCATCATTTTCTTCAAGTTTGTATTAAATATTTTGTTCTTGAGATAGGAAAATGGCATATTTTATGGCAGAGAGAGAGAGAGAGAGAGAGAGAGGGGGGAAAGGGCGTGAGGGAGAGGGGGGATGAAGGGAAAGGAGGAGAAAAGGAGAAGAGCAAGGGAGGGGGTGGATGGGGGAAGGAGGAAGGTGGAGAAGAGAAGGAGAAGGGAAGAGGAAGAAGGGAGGAGAGTTTTTTTTTAACAGTTTCTGTACTTGCGGACCTTTCAAGTGGGACACAAGATAGACTTTTTTCCTTCTGTTTTTTAAGAACTAGTTCAACTTTCTCTTTGGTACTACAAATGCAAATCTATCACAATGCTATCTTCATCAAATGATACTAAAATACAGTTGCAACATGTTCACAGACACACTTCACTGTAGGAGAAAAGAAGTTTCAAAGAAGTGATTACACATGTGACTGTTTCCAATTGTTTTGTATATATACAATAAGTGCTGAAAGATAATAAAACTATCAAAATTAAGAAATAATTGGATACGTCCTGACAAATGAAATACAACATCTTACTGAAACAAGATGGAGAAAAAATTCGCTGAGGGCTGTCACTGATCTTCCCCACACTCGCAAACCTACATAAATTATGATGAACATGTAAGAGGTACGTTCTTAAGTCACTCGCCTAAATGTTTGAGTTTACACGGTTGGTAACCTTTCAAACATGAACAATTTGCAATTAAACACTTGCAGAATAAAATGATAGCATTTAACTAGTGATAAATAACATATTTACTATACATTTTTACTTACTTTAGAATAATATATTTGTTTAAACAACTGGATATAAGAACTATTTCACCTCAATCTTGCAAATTAAAAACCTGAGCTCTCATTAGTATAAATTATCATTTATATTAAAAAGTCCCCTTCAGTTAGAGGTAGGGCCTATATAGAAAAAAAAAGCTGAACCTACACTTTAAAAACTGTAATTTTATTAATGGTATGTTTTCATGGGCATTACACCAATACACAGCCAATCTACCAACAACCCCTGATTAACATATTATCTGATTAAACTGGCCACAGATAAATCAAAAGATCTCCAACAATTTTCAAAGTGGAGCAAAAAATACTCACCAAAGGACCCCAGTATGTGTACAAATAACCAATTCGAATATCAGGAATAAACTGACTGGTTGCCATTATGAGAAAATACAAATTCAAGAAGAATTTGAATTGTTGAAATAGAACCTGAAAAAAATACCAATATAAATTTGTCATTTGAGAATTACACAATGTTAATTCAATACTAAGATATTAATTCACACTTTGATCTACATCCAATATTGTATTCTGTATTTGTTACACACTTTTGAGGAATGTATGAAATAAAAACACTGAAGGATTTCAATAGTATTCAGAAGGGTTGACAATTATCAGTTTTTAAAGATCCCACATATCTCAGATGCAAAAATTAAAGTTTTTGAAGCCTATTGTTCCTAATTAACTTTTTCTCTTGCTTGTACAACCAAAACATTATTTCAAACTCAATTTTTTAGTCAGCTGAAAGAAGATATTGAAATGGAATGGAGCAAAAATTTGGGAAGAACATCATATGATAGGACACAATGAGTTCACATGTCTGCAAAAACTACTAGTTTACCTGAAATCTTAATTGCAATATTATAGTTCTTGACATTATGTTCAATCTTGTCCTTTATCTTATTCATATGAATACCAATTACAATTAAATTTTAAATATGTTACATAAGCATTGAACAAATTCAACATGCAGTAAAAGTAATCTCAATAATGAATACTTTCTTCATGCTTAATTTCAATTAGTTTATTTTTCGACATCATTTCTCATATTTCTTTGACAATTCATTTGAAAATAAATAGTAACAAATATAAATTTAAATAATATTCAACTGTGTAATTGTAGATTTGTTTCTAAAATTTTTAATTTGAGAAGCAGGAATAATTCAGTTTTGCAGTCATGTAGAATAAAGAGAGTATGAAATCCTTTTTCTCACAATTACGAGACTTACCAATGGCAAAAATGTCACAAAGTTATACTTTTGGTTACGTATTACATTGGCAGGAAACTTCTCTGTACTTGGGTTTCCAACTACAATGGTGCGACTTCTCAGCTCTCGAGGTCGGCAGCATCTTCTCCAAAACCAATGACAGCACCTGTAAAATTTATTCATGACCTAGTGAACACTTAATTTATCCCTAATATTAAGTTCACCAGTAGGACATTTTAGATAATTTACTCATTCAAACACTTGCCTTCTAGAATACTTAAAAAAGAAAACAACTGCTGAAAAATGTTTATTGGGCTCTTCATAAAATTCAAGTGCTAACTTATCATATAATCAAAACTTTAAAGAATATAACCCAAAAATGTGAAGTAAAGAACTGTGCGAATTAAAATGTCAATAAAACATACTAAGGAATGAGAAAACTACAACTCAAATTTTGACATTACTTCTTCGAAACTTCCGATATACCAATGTGCATCACGAACTACTTTCTTCTAAAACAATTTACCTCCTTAAAACCTAGGGATACGCAGGGGATATTGTTACCTCATGCAAGAATCATCTGAATTCTTCGGTATAAGGGGAATATCTTCTTTCACCAGTTGCGTCGTCGATGATGCGTCGACAACACTTATTTTGGTAGCATCCATGCTGACAGCTATCACGACTAAGGCTCGTAATGAGAAACTAGTTTATACCATAGAACGATGAATCTCGAATTCTAATATTCATTAAAGATACAAATCTGATATTCACAGATGCACTTTTTTGTCACATCATCCTTCCAGTGGGCCTGCCATATCCTCATACTTCAGGAGTAACAGCACAGAACACAGCAGAACACAGTAAGACAGTAAATTACAGGGTGAGGCAAGCTACTCTCGCAACGATCGATACACTGGCTGGACCCAGTCGACTTCTAACCATCTCACAGCACCCGCGAATTGTTCGAATTAATATTCTTTCGACCACACAGCGAGTCACAATTACTTTCACTCATTTCCTACTAACTATCCTATAAACTCGTTCCCTATAACAATTTTAATGTACAATTAAAATCAGCAATAAATTATTACTTACTTTTTCTCCGATACAATATTTTCTTCCAGGGAACTATCAATATCCTGATAATATGTATCCGATTCACTACCGCTACACGAATTTCGATATTCATTAAGTCTGTCGTGATGGTTCATTTTCGAAAAATGTGTTTTCTTATCTCTTTCTCCTCAAAGCGCGAAATTCTTTTCCGGCCAATCTCAATGCAATATGTCAAATGCGAGAGCCAAGTTTAGTTAGCAGTTTAGTTATCTTATCTACGTCCCGTCACATGACCAATCGCATGAGTTAAGAAGTAATTCCGAAGGAAATTAAGGATATCTAAAATGTGGCTTGATCCAATGCATGTGAATTGCATGAAATCCCCCACCTCTACACAACTTCCACAATTTCATTATCAGATACTACTGTGTGTTACTCGAAGTAAAAATATAAAATAATCAAGTACTTGCATCAAAACTAAGCATTCTAACTTCCCTTTTGGTTGCCTAAAGTAACATTTTCTTAACATTTAAATAATCAAACATCTTTACTAAAGATCTTAGAAACATTCTGAATCAAACAGTTCTTTTAGTTTTGATTTCTCACAAGTTCAACTTCAAGTTCAAAAAACAGTTAATGTGTTCATATTGTTTCTTATATTATAAATATCAGGCATCCCTTTGAATTTATTCTTTACCTTTTTTTTCATTTGTTAAATAAAAATGCTAGAAAACTATAATTACACCATTATCTTACTGTTTTTAATAAACGCATTATAGATACAAAAAACTATTTGATATAAAATACCTTTACACACTCCAATGATATTACGAGAAATTTATTTCATGACCTATTTACACTAACCAGAAAGAGGACATTGCTCACTAACCAGAAAGAGGACTTATATTATTATGCATTATTACAAATTGTATTTATCATAGTGAAAATGCCTTAATGTTTAACAAACCAAAGAGGGCCAGAACTTTGGAAATTCTTGTTTGAATTTTGTCCTGTGGTTTTAACCTAAAATAACGTCGGTTTTTTTTTTCCTTCTCCACTTCAAAGAGATGTTTTTACAGTTTGTCTAAGTCACTCCTACCTTGTGGTCTGTACATAAACACCTGCTTTGGAATGCATGTCTGTTCCATTCTTTCAATATGTTGTAGCCATTCCTATCCTTTTTATAAATTGATTGATCATTAAACTCTCTTATTTCCTCAATTCTGATTCTATATAATCTGGCACATCTCTTTACAGATCTCAGAAATTTCGTTTTGGCAAAGAGTAAGGATTGTTTATCACAACTCGACACTCTCTTGTGACAGACTGACTTTGAAGTCTTCTGACTTTTTCAAATATTTCTTCCTCCATCTCGTTATAATTTCTATATCTGATTTCAGCAAGTGATGATCTAAATGAATCTCATTTTCTTTATGGGAAAAAATGTTGAAAAGGAGTACAATAATGAACATACACATGAATCTGTGAGTTTCGATGATAGTATTATTTTCTTTGGTAGTAAAAGTACTAGCAAGGTCTACTTAGCATGTAAGAAAAAACATTTTACAATGATAAATCACCCATGCACCAACTTTTTTAACAACATTTTATAAAAGAACGCAATATGTATACATATTTTAATATTAAATGTGTAAATTGGGAAGGTTAGAGTTTATTTTAACATTAATTTTTATTATATATGATTTATATATAATATTATTAGGGAGCTCCATACTTTGGCCAATCTTGGGGACCTTTATGACATTAATGGTCCTGATCCAAGATTTATTAATCCACTGGGCCTTATTAATTATTTCTGTGCACATTGAAATTTTAAAATTATCGAATTTAAATCCAGAAACCTGGGATTACTGGATATGAGTGAGTTTACTGGCACAGTTTCTCTGGATTGAGTAAATAGCAATTTATTTAAAATCTCAAATAAATCAAAAAATATACTGCACAATCAAATAAGATCTCTCTTAAATCCAATCCCTTCAAACAATATAATTTTCTCTACTGAACCCCCACAAAGAAATGGGCCGTACTTGTATTAAGTCCAAATGAATAATGTTCTGTGAAATATATGATAAAAAAAGGAGAATACATACAAAAACACATCCCTGTCAGTCACATGAACTATTATTAGCAGTGTATTTATCTAATTCATCTAATTCTGTTTCTACATTTGCTGGAAAATCAACAAACATTTTCTTTGAAGTATCATTGATGAAAAATCAACAACACCATTTTATCAATCAAGAAACAATACTGAGGCCAATCACGCCCATTTCCAAGTTCTTTCTTCATCACCATCATGAACTATTAAGGTTTAGGCCTATGAGCCTGTTCCTTTGATCCAGTATTCCCTGCTAGTCTCTGCTGAGGTGTTCCTGGACCTTCCACCTTTCTCTTGGCCTGCCTGACTCTCTTTCCCCTCTTGGTCTATACTTCCTGATCCGTTTTCGAAAACTGTCTGGTTTCATTCTTCTTGCATGATCTTGCCCTTTCCTTTGGTATCTTTTGCATTTATTATGCTTATTGCATTTACTAGGTTGTTAATTTTCAGACTTTTTGCAAATATCCTTAATTTTTATTCTTTCTTTTCGTTGACACCGTAATAGATTTCAGGTATCTGCGTCTGGGCTGCTTTTTTAAGCTACTACTTAAGTCATTTTTGCTTTAGGCATTGCCCACATTTCCCCTGTCCATAGTACCGCTTGCCTGCGGCCAATGTTATGGAAATTCTGTAGTTGTGTTTGTTTCTTTGGTCGTTTCCCAAGAAAAATTTGAAACCTCAGTACTTGGCTTCTTCAGAGCTAATAAACTTGACGCCATTTCAACGGAGATCACCAACTCATTTGTGAAGAACCCATCATTGTTGCACAAAATTTTAATCAGGGTGCCTTTGGTTTGGCCCCCAGAGTTTGCCCTCCAACCCAAAAAAATGTGTGAAAAAAAAAATAAAAATTAAAACCCAAAAAATTGTGGAGAAAAGATAATAGCTTATGGGAAACCATTATCTATCAACATATTTCTCTTATCTTGCACATACAAATCTACAAATGTTTTACACGTTATATACTCGAATCTATTAATCTAGTTTTCTTTCTTTCCAAAATATTCCAGGCATCACTTTCTTGGTCAAGAAGAGTTTAGTTTTACCAAAGAAATTCCTAGCTTTCCAACTACCCACAAGAATCATAAATTTAGTAACAATTATTATTCTAAGCTCCTAAAAATTAGTTCTTTCCAACTTTCCTAGTAACATATCAAAGTGGCAAACAATTCACTTTGTATTCAAAGCAAAACATTCCTTCTTCTTCTTTTCATTTTAATAGTTAAGTTTTCTCATTTCTACATCTCAAACAATGTCAACTGTCAATAAAATTCATTATCTTTGTTATTATAAAATAACTGAACAGACATTAGAAAATAAAGTAACTGAACAACTTTGCAGCACACTGCCAGAAATTTGTACCTGATCAATGCCATTTCATAGAGCAAAACCATCTGTAGGCACAGATATTGTTTGGTTGTTAAGATAACAAGATGTGCACATTTTGAATACAATTTCAAAATTAACAACAGCAATAACTTTGCAGACTTTTTAGGCATCATAAAGAATTTCTGGCAGAGTAAATTTTAGGAAAAATAACAATTGCTACAGCCAACAAGTCTCAATAATGCAGGGTCAGTATTGTGAAGTATTTCACAAGATGCTGTCTCCAATGTTTCAGTAAGCACTGTGTGTACTAGTACATGTTTCAGTATTTTAAAGGGAAAACATGACGCCACAACATAACACTAACTTTCAAGTAGTAGCTGCAATAATTATGAAAAAAGTATAATTGTAATTAAGGTTAAAAGTATTTCCTACTATTACTCATCTCCAAAACTTTCTTTGACCGAGAATATTCTGATTTTTATATTTTCTTAACACATTGCAATTACACAGGTCATGAAACTACCAAAGCAAGAAAATATATTTTAAATTGTAATTGAATTTGATATTACAAACTACCTTGATTTCAAAATCCATTGGTTATTGTTTATCTGACTATAATAACAGTTACAAGTTTTTTTTACTACCTTCAAATACAACTCTTAAATTTCATAGAGCAAAAAAACCTGTGCTACAGCAAACATCATTTCATACGGCAAAAACAACTACAAATTGCAGATTTTCCAGACAATACAGAGAATGTGCTGTAATTCTACTTCTCCAAAAACTAGAAGAGCATACTTCTGAAGTCCACAAATATAGTTTGAACAATTCCAACAGCACCACAAATAACAATACACAGCTTAAATGGTGTACAACTAGCAGCCTGGGGGCCCAGATAAACAGAACAATACTGCAATTGTAAGAAAAGTATTTTTTCTTACTGTAACTTTTTTCTTATAGTGTTAAATTTATATATTTGATATTTTACAAAAAAATATGTATCTTACCCACAGAATGAAGCACATGTACAGAGAGGCCACTGCTTTGTCGAGCGGTATCTTGTTGATGAAATGGTAACATCATGATCTGGTTGAAGAAGGAAGTCACATTCATCCATTTCAAAGTCACGTTCATCAGAATTTATTCTCAAAGGTACTTCTTCCATTGTGGATTTATTTTGTATATTCCTTAGCACTTTTCACAAATCACATAAAACATTCTTATCTTGCTCAGTGGCAGTAGGTTCACATGAATAATAAGCTTCTTAGGAAAAATTCAGCTACTGTACATTCACGGTAAAATTACGAAGAAATAAGTTTTATTCGATGTATATGGAAAAACAGGTTTGTACTCAATTTCTCAAATTAAACTTAAGGCACATGATTTAGGTACTTTAACAGGCAGCAACATTTCAGCCAAAATTCTTATAAATTATGAGTATTAGATAGTTCGCATGTAGAACTAACCGCCACAAATCTCTCATTTCAATTATTTTAGGCATCTGCAGCAACGTGAATTTAACTGAAATCCCTTGAAAGAGTAAATGTCAGAAATCCAAGTACATCTGATACCACTTCATTTTGAAGATAAAGCCAGAAGTCCATATTGCATGTCAGAAGAAAGTTTAAAGTATCAATTCCTGATAAGCTTCGTTTTACAAGAATATTCTGCTTACAGACAAATATTCCGCAAAAAAATTTAAGAAAAGAGCCAGTACAAAGTTTCAGCACTTATTAAAAATCGACGCTTTGGTCACTCAAGAATTTCGTAATATGTTCCAACGTCTTGATTGATGTTGACTACTTCCAGGCCAAAATATTTTTATTTGCTTATCTACAGCAGATCTACAGGACACCAGCAAATGCGCGATAAAGCGGGAGCCCCCACCATCATGCTCCGCCCATCAACAGCACTTGAATGCTGCAACAGCTGGTCAAGTGGTCAGCTTAGCGGCAGGTTAGCGGTCAGCTGTCAAAACGGGTTATGTTGGCAACAATATTCAATATGCACAGATAAATCGGCAGAATAGTAATTTACAATGTTTACAATATGTCAGCGCAGTTTATTTGTTAAAGGTGACATTTTTACCGTTCTTGACCGCACATTGATTAAACAATAAAATATTTTCCTGAGTTTTCATTATTGTAGAAGAATTTGGTCTTTATTACTATGCAGTTAATATATTGAGTAGTAAATCATTTATACAGTTGAAGAAATAATATACTGAAATGTTAAAGTTTGTCAAATTAAAACAGTTATTGGTACTTAAATAGCCAAAGACTTTTACATAAAAAAATAAACAAAGTAGTTCTTTGAAAATTTTTAAATGTTATTACTTTCACATACCATATTTTTTAATGCAAACAATTTTTTTTGGTTAGGGTAGCAAATACAAAAAGCAAAAATGTTGGAAAATTAAGTTGTTCATTTCATTTATTTTACATATCAGTACACTTTTCAAATAATAACTTGCAGTTAGTAGCTTTCATATTAATTTTTTCCCCCAGAAATACTGAAATATTCTTCTAATACAATTGTTTCATTTTAAAATTCCCCAACATCATGACAGCCAATTTTTTTCTTTTCTCTTATCTATAAGTCACACATAGAGACATTCAAATTATATTTACATTCCACCTCTAAAACAGCAAAACTATAAACATCACATCTATATACAATCTTTGGAGATACATAGTTAATACAGTTAGGGCACTATATTGATAACTAAACAGTTACATTGATTTCAAGTCATATGTGCAAAAGAGATAATGTTGAACGAGGGTAAGCCTCCCATACGTATATACCCTGCAGAACATCATTTGTTTGAAATAAATACTTGTTATGAAAATAGTTTTATTTTAAAATTTCTATCCAGCAGAAGTAAGCTTCTTTCTGGCAGAGCACAATATTTCCTTTTCATCCCAGTCATTTATTAAAATGTTCTTCCATGTAACAGAGAGAATAATATATTGAAAATTGAAACAGCTTGTAAACTAGTTGACCAAAAAACAAATCTAACAAAAAAAAAGTTCAAGGAATGTAGCAAATGTCATAAAAAAGAAGGAAAAATTAATAAAAACAAATAAAAAGGCTTCAAAAACAATAAAATCACATAATAATAATAATAATAAAACTCTGTTCCTCTTGAGGAAAAAACAATAAAAATTATAAGTTTATTTCCTTGTCACACAAGTCCATCAATTGCAAGTTATATCTGACATTAGTTTATCTAATAATTTAAACTACCAATATAAAATGTTTTAAGTCAATAATTTAATTTCAGATGAATGAAAAATTGTTTTTTTTAAATTAAATGTATATATTAATGATGCTTAATGAAAAAAAATCTCCCATTTACCTTTCAATATTCATAAAAGAATTTGAAAGAAAGAATAGTCAAAATTTTCAGGTAATCACTTACAATATTGCGAAATACAAATTATGCCCTCCAAAAAGGTTAAATTGTGTTTGAGAGAAGCTTACTTTATAGGCCCAGCTAGTTCATTTTTCCAAGTTAATGGGTAATTTACTTAAGACATCACAGAAATTAGAGGTAATTGCAGTCATTAGTTATGTATTTAGTGCACTGAGATTATATAACTGATAAGTGTGTAAGATCTAGTTAATATTTGAAAATTTGAGAAATGGAATTAAGTGTGTGAAAAGTAGTTGAAAATTCTACGTAAAATTAAAGAGTACCAAGTGAGTTGTAATGTTTGAGTTATACAAGTAAAGTAAAACTATGGAATATCTATAGATATTTTCATAGAAATCAAATGCTACAATAAAGTCTAACATGTCAATACAATTTCATATTTTCTTTTATATTTAAAAAATTAAATACCTTCATGAAAATTTACAGTAATTTGTTAACATATGATCCCTGTAGATTTACATACATTCATCTTGTTCTGAACTTTTATGTTAATGAATATTCCAAAAACTTTTACACTTACAGCTATAATCAAAGGAAATAAAATCTGTCAGAACAATATCAAAGTCTTTATCACACATTATATTCCAAAAATACCTTGCTTCTCCAGAAAAATTAATGATTAAACATGTACTTATTAATGTTAAATATGTTATGAAGCTCAAAAAGTTAATGAATGGTTTATTTTATTCAATATGTTCCTCTGTACGCAATGGAATTAGCCATTTTTAAAAACATTTTCTGAATATTGAAACCTAAATAGCATTAATGCCCTTGATGACTTCAGATTTTCTCATAATATGAAATTGAGGAGATGAGCAAATTATATATTTAAAAACTTCATTTTAAAATTTATTTCCTTTTGTTGCTCATTCTGAACTTTAGGTAGTTCTAAATTTAAATAGATTTATTTATTCATACAATAAAATAATCTGATAATTCCAAAGGAAAGTATTTGATAATTAGTTTTGTAACACACCAAAATGCTCATAATGCATAGAAAACTCATCTTGGCTTCTAATATTAAAACGTGTTTTAAAGCCGGCTCCACACATTTGGCATTTGCTGAGCAACAAGCTACGGCTCTCTGAATCCTGAACATCTGATGTGTTCAGCAAATGTTTACTTCCTTTGATGTGTCTAAAAGACTCAATATGCAGTAGGTATGGTGAGCAACAAATGTTCGTCACTCAGCAAATAGCACACAACTCTTCCACACCACTTGTGATTGGACAAGAGGTTGCTTACTACTCACCGAATAACAAACGTGTCGAGGCGCTTTAAGAAATTAAATACTGCTTAATGACAAACATTATAACCAGTGAGAAATATTTACTTTCAATTAATGTGGTATTAATTGGAAATAGAAGTTTATAGTCTTTTTTCTTTCGCTTACAGTTCTTTCAGTATTTTGATAATTAATAAAAATAAAATAAGTTATTGAAAATGCTTTTTTAAAAGTTAAAAATAAAACTTCTTTACAAAAATACTTTGTGTTACAATGTTTATAATACACCATAAAATTATTACAAAACCATGCATGTGATAAAACTGTATAAATGATGGACATTGTGAGAAAATACCTTCAGATATTTACGCATTAGCAAGCCAAGTTTTAAAATTGCAATTAATTGAGCACACTAAATGTACTCAATAAATGTTCAAACAAAGGGATATATTGAACATTTAGTGTTTGAACAATGCAGTGTTTTTTAGATTTAAATTACATTTTCTAAGTGATTTTTTTCTAAAATATTCAAAACATTCAGTGCATCTAAAACCTCTGTTCTATTCCTTAAAAATAACTGATCATTTTGTCTTGTCAGCTTTAGATGTCAATAAATTTGTTTGTTTGTTTACTTCAGATTATAAGAAAAAGCATCTCAATAATTGTACCTTTCTGTAACAAAGCAGTTTGCACAAATCCACTCACTAAATTTCCTTCACCTTTCCTTTCCTTTATTGATTTTTGAAATTGAGTTGAATTTTTAAAAAAATGTCAATTGAAAGTTTTCAACTGACAACATTTTAAGAGGTATTTAGTTTTATGTTCAATTTTATGTTAAGAAAGGTTTGCCTTCCATGATCAATTATAATTATGCATAAAATATCTATATTACAGTAAATTTATTTAGGTGCGTCACTTTCCCTCGTCAGAATTCCACTCCTCATTCCATTGCAACAACCACACTTCCCCCTTACAATATATAGACACAAAAGTTGGACAACTACTGCAAGAGTGCAGAAAAGAGGAGAGGATGTGAGATTGAAAATGACATTGAGCCACCTACATTTTTTGTCTCTAGTATAATTAAAGTAAAGAACCTACACTGATTTAACTTTAAACTTTTTTTCGACAATTAAAAGAACATTTTCTAGAGAAGAAACATTTTCCAAAGACATCACATTTTTTTATTAAAATTTTATAAATATAAATCTTTCCAGACTTTTCTTCTTATGTCATGTAATATTCCCAAGTTAGCAGGGCAGAGTCTGAGTCTCAAGGCTAGAGGGCTCCCAAATGAGAAGAAAAATGTATTAATTTTCTTACATTGAAAAGTTAAATTCAAAAATTAAACTTCTTTTATGTTTTTCCTCTTAAACAGAATTAAACAGGAATCAAGAATAATATATCATCCATCGCCAAGACATTAAACAAATTTTCGTTCAATTAAAAGTATGAAGATACTTTAACTATTAATAAAATGATTCACCAAAAGTAGAAAAAAAAGTTATGAAGAAACAATAAAGATGACTATTACAATCAGCAATCTGTTGCCCTGACTCTCCCCTACCGTGTACCTCAAGTCAAACTTTGAAAAGAAGAATCTCTGTGGATTTTTATTAACCTGAGAAATTTTGAGCAAGCCTCGCAAATTATTTTTAATTTATAAAACTGAACTTAAAAACAAAATTGTTATTTGACAAATATTATAAGCACAACAATTTTAGTTAAACAAGCTGAATGAAAGATTGAATGGAAAGTTTTATCTAAAACACAAGAAATTTTGGGGAAAAATTTAAAACTTTTCTTTGTTCAACATTGAAAGAAAGTGTGAAAAATTCATTTACACAAGGGCGATTTGTACATTAATTAAATAAAATTGATTTAAAATCTCAGTATGGTTGTAATCATTTACTAAAGGGTTAATTATTCTAGAGAGGTTAGAGCAATTCCTACTTAATTTTGCTACGTAAGTTTTCACAACATACAATTAACGTACAACCCTGATCAATTCACGAAGCCTGTAATGAAGAAACTGTAAAATTTACTTTTCAAATTAGATCTAAAACTCATTTCTTAATTCCCAATTAATATTTATTAATTTTTTTTAGTTAAAAAATTAATGCTGAAATCCGTTAATTGATGACAAAAAAATTTAAATAAATGCCATTGAAAGTGAAAATGCTCAGTACTAGTAAGACGCAGATTCTTACCTATTCTGATTCTATTCCTGTTCTTGCACAACATCAAA